GTTTTATTCTGACTGGTTAAAATAGTTTATTAATCGTTATCAACACTATAAACCAAACGCATTCCATGTGCTGGTAAAATAGGTTTTAAAAGGAAATCATAGCGTCCCATTCTGCAGTTGCATAACAAATGGAAAAAAACGCAATGCCAGACAAACATAATCTTAGCAGTGAGATTTAAACAGGCAAAAGCTTAAATAAAATGGTTGCCTGTTCTCATTATTTTGGACTGAACCACAACGTGACTTACTTCCAGTTGGTTTTACCATCTGAAGCTTGGCTAAAGTTGTTTCATTGGTTTGGTAAGAATTCAATCATGGCTGAGTAATTGTTAACAGACACTCATTCAAACCGCCCTTCTTTTTTCCTACATCCCCTCTTTTAATTTAAATTTATGAGGGATCATTTCTGTGGCAGCGCAGTGTTCTTACCCCCAAAGCCAACGCTGTGGCTTTCGCTGTGAAGGAAACGGGGATATGCCAGGCTTTCTTCCTCCACAGACCACACCTTTCTTTTATTATCCTTCGAAAAGCAACAAGCGAGTTAGGGGTAGGTGATGATGACAAAAAATTATGTAACTATTATCCTGAGAATAATACCTAGATTATATTTTTGCAATCCAGAAAGAAGCTATGTTCCTCTAAATGTCTTCAAAAATTAGTATCCACCAAAAAAAAAAAAAAAGAAAAAAAAAATCATACCTTTGAAAGATCGTGTTACAAGTTTCTTTTTTTTTGCATTTTTAATCAGATATTTTTACAACATTTTCGTAGTTTATAATTATTAAAGACAATTTATTTCCAATCAAATTTTACATATATTCTAATGGATTATCTCAAATGGAACGTTTGTGTTGGAACTCAAAATTGGGACTAAGTCTGAAACCAAACCTCGACTTCACCAGGAATAAACCAGGACTCGAACAGGACCAAATCAAGTCTACATCATGACTAAACTCGGTTCAAACCAGAACTAGAACATGACCATACCAAGTTTACATCAGGACTAAACTGGGCTCAAACCAGGACTAGAACAGGACCAAACCAAGTTTATATCAGGACTAAACTGGGCTCAAAGCAGGACTAGAACAGGACCAAACCAAGTCTACGTCAAGACTAAAGTGGGCTAGAAGAGGACCAAACCAATAGCCTGATGTAGTCCTGATGTAGACTTGGTTTGGTCCTGTTCTAGTCCTGTTTTAGCCCAGTTCAGTCGTGACGTACACTTGGTTCGGTAAACCATGACTAGAATAGGACCAAACCAAGCCTACATCAGGACTACATCAAGTCTACATAAAAAAATAAATAAATAAATTATAATAATTTCCCTTATGGATCAATAAAGTTTGTCTATGTCTAAGGACTAACATGGGCTAAAACAGGACTAGAACAGGGCTAAAACAGGACTAGAACAGGACCAAACCAAGTCTGCATCAGGACTATATCAAGCCTACATCAAGTCTACAGTAAAAAAAAATAATTATAATAATTTCCCTTTTGGATCAATAAAGTTTATCTAAGTCTAAGGACTAAACTGGGCTAAAGCAGGACTAGAACAGGACCAAGCTAAGTCTTTATCAGGACTAAACTGTGCTCAAACCAGGACTAGAACGTGACCAAACCAAGTCTACATCAGGACTAGAACAGGACCAAACAACGGGCACAGTTTATTCCTGATGTAGACTTGGTTTGGTCCTGTTCTAGTCCTGTTTTAGCCCAGTTCAGTCGTGCTGTTCATTTGGTTTGGTAAACCATGACTAGAACAGGACCAAACCAAGCCTACATCAGGACTACATCAAGTCTACATGAAAAAAAAAATAATATATATAATAATTTCCCTTGTGGATCAATAACCAGGACTAACATGGGCTGAAACAGGACTAGAATAGGACCAAACTAAGTGTACATCAGGATTAAACAGGGCTAAAACAGGACTAGAACAGGACCAAACCAAGTCTACATCAGGACTATATCAAGCCTATGTCAAGTCTACATAAAAAAAAAAAAAAATATAAATATATATATATATATAATAATTTCCCTTTTGGATCAATAAAGTTTATCTAAGTCTAAGGACTAAACTGGGCTAAAGCAGGACTAGAACAGGACCAAGCTAAGTCTTTATTAGGACTAATCTGTGCTCAAACTAGGACTACAACAGGACCAAACCAAGTCCACATCAGGACTAAAGTGGGCTAAAACAGGACTAGAACGTGACCAAACCAAATCTGCATCAGGACTAGAAAAGGACCAAACCAAGTCTATATCAGGACTTAACTGGGCTCAAACCAGGTCAACTTTGAAACCACACCAAGTAGAGTATGTTATAACAGTTCCTTTCCCTTCTGTCCCTCCATCCTCCCGAGCATGGGTGGGATGTGACTGAGTGAGTTCAGATGGTAGTGATTGGGCTTGTTTTGTAAGGGGCTGCGTGGAGGGTTAGCATGCTAGCGTGCTGTAGGGCCCAGCCAAAGAAACCACAGCGCTCCTCCTCACTCCCTGCTTTTTGAATTTTCTCAGTCACCCACTTACTTTCTTCTTACTCCCATTTCTTTTGCATCTCCTTTCATGTCCCCCTTTTATCTGAAGTTTGAGAGATCTGCACTTTTCACTTCAGTGTTTTGACAGCGTTTTATTATGTTCTTCTTATGGGAAGTAGGCCTTAAGCATCTGCGTCTTTAACTTATATTTGAACTAAAGGTGCATGCTGTAGGCTACATGCTTTGGGTTGCCAGATACTTTGAATAAAACCAGCTATAAATCCATAAGAGCGGTCTATATTTAACCAAAGACACCCAGGATTTATTGTACATTACTAGGGATGTAATGATATCCAAATCTCTCAATACGATATTTTCACGATATGCATCTCACGTGATATTTTGCGGTACCTAACAAAATTGTGAATATTGTAGTACCTTTAGCATACATGTTTACATTCATAATGCACCACTAACTAGAGACACATTAGTTACATGCTTACCTATGTGCTTATCAGTGTTCAGTTTTCAGGTTTGTGCTTTATATACAGTATAGTCGCGGTCTTTAAGACCCGTTGACGTTTGAGGCACGCTGTTCTGTTTACCGTTATTAACTGTTTTGTTGTTACCTCCGCCAAGGAGGTTATGTTTTTGCCGGCGTTTGTCTGTTTGTTTGTTTGTTTGACTGTTTGTCTGTTAGCAACATAACTCAAAAAGTTATGGACTGATTTTGATGAAATTTTCAGGATTTGTTGGAAATGTGAAAAGGAAGAACTGATTTCATTTTGGGGGTGGTCCGGAAGAAATCCTGGATTCTGGATCACTTTGAAATTTTAGTTAACATTGTGGTAAATGGGGCCAAAAATTTTGTTTCTCAATATCTCGGTTAATCATTGACCAAACCCCATGAAATTTGACTCAGGGATGGACAATGGGATCCTCTTTCATATTCCAAAGGCTGATCCGGATCTGATCCAGAAGACTGATTTTATCGCAATTTATATAAAAAATGGGGGTAGTCCTTGGCGGAGGTCTGCGCTCTCTGAGTGCTTTTCTAGTTGTTGTTGTTGTGAGTTCAGTTAATAAAGCGACACACGGCTTTCTGTGTGTGAAATGTGAGAAGTTGTCGGCTCCGTTTTATCACGCGCAACTTTCACAGTATGCTACTTTTCTGTAATAATCCAAATAATTAAGATTTAAAGTTAAAAATGCTTAATAACAGTTGTTTTATCATGTAGATTGGACTAAAACAGAACAAAGGATCATGGTCTGTGTAGTTCTGTCTGTTTTTAAGCTGTTGTTGCACCATAATAATGAATTTAAGGTAAGAAACTTGTAATCTGATATATTGTGATGGTCTTTTGGACTAGGGGTGTAACGATATCCAAGTCTTACAATACGATATTGTCATGGTATGAACCTCACGGTACGATATTTGTTGCGACATCATGGGAAAGCTCACGATATGATGGGGAGGTTCACGATTAGGGATGTAAAGATCCAAATCTCTCAGTACGATATGTTCACAATGTACATCTCATGGTACGATATTTATAGCGATATTTTGTGGAGGTTAACAAAACTGTACTTGTACTTTTTCCTCTTAAAATGCCTTGACAAGACTTAATCCAAAGAACTAAGACTTAAAAGTGCTTAGAACTGTCATTTCTTCTTGTAGTCTGCACTGAAATGGAGCAAAGGATCATGGTCTATGTAGTTCCCTCTGTCTTTTTTTTTTTTTACCTATTACTGCACCATAACTTTTAATTTAAGCAGAGACCTGTAATTTGACATATTCTGATGGTCCATGATATTATTGTGAGAACTTTGATGATTCGATATCATGATATTTTGGTTATTGTTACATCCCTATAAATTATTGTTTAAAATCCATGTTAAAAGAATGCAATGTAACTTTTCTGTTGGAGTGTCTGTCACCTGCTTGTTTTTTGTTTTGTTTTTTGCAGATGCAATTGAATACTAAAAATTGTCTATACATTTGTTTAACGCCATACAGTGGAACATGGCTGTTATTGTAATGATATTTCCCTGGAGAGAAGCAAGTGGTGGACTCCTGCATCCTTTTAAAGTTATTTTATATACGTACATAATACTGTTAAAATAATGCATAATTTATTTTCTAGATAACTACACATCTATATAAAAGCATTAAGTGTTCCTGTCTCTGTTTTTCCTCAGACAAGATTAAGCCCAGTATATTAGTCCAGTTGTATCTGTGTATGATGAGGCCCCTTCTGGAAAATGCTTGTAAAACCTCCCTGTAACAAAGAACATTCATTTCTTAAGCTGCTCATATGTTGTCCATACATTCTCACTTACTGGAATGCCTGCTTAGCACTCATCTGTTTCAAATGATGTCATGTTAGCAAAGCCATCCTATATTCCTCTTCCTAATTAGCCTGGATCCTATGGAGAAGCTTGTGTTAAAGATTTGTCCACTGAGAAGGATATTGCCTTTAAGTGCCAACAATATGCTTTATGTTGTGTTTTGTTTATCCACAGAAAACCTTATGTCAGCTCACCACAGATGAAGAGGATACCGCACAGACTTTAATGAAGCTTTTGGGAGTGCCACCAGCTGAGTACCATCTGAAAGTGCTGAGAAAAGTATTGACTCCTCATTTCCTTTTGAAAATGTCCTTGATTAATGCCAGAATACACTGTTAGTCATGTCGTATATCTGTGGCTTTAGATGCTGGCGAGGCTGCAGGAACAAGCCGGGACAGTCTGCACTGTTTCTTGTGATGGGAATCAAAGGTAATAATAATAAACAATTTCATACCTACCATAGACTGTATACCGTATTTTCCGGGCTATTAGGCGACGCACTGTCATTAAATGGTCTATTTTCTAACTTTTTTCACAAATAAACTGCACTGGACTTTAAACGAAACACAACAGTTCGATGGGTCAGTCGGACTTTGTTTGGCGCGTTCACGGTGACTCTCGGCTTTGTTCGATTGTGGCGTGTAGGGAGGGTGCTGTCTGGGACCGCTGGGTTGTTGGCGTGTTCGCAGTGACTCAGTTGTTCAGTTGTGGCTCAGAGTGGCACATTGGATTGGCTTTTTCGGTTCGTTCCTTCGTTCCGTTCCTCGTCAGCGTGGAGTGATGAGTGTGGCTGCGGGTGTTTTTCGCTGCACGGTCGCTGTCTGCTCCGTGTGTGTTGCGTGCGCTGCATTTGGTGCGGCTTTGTAGTTTACTGAAGTCGTGCTGGGACACCCGAGTGGATTCGTGTATGGGGCGCTCTGGATTGCGGGGTGTGCAGTCGTTTTTTGATGCGGTTAGAGGCTTAAGAGCGCGACTAATAGCCCGGAAAATACGGTAGAGAAGTGGACTTAAGGGAGGGTGATGTCACTCATAGCGTCCAGTCAAATGAAGCTCATTGAGGCTAGCTTGGCTCATTGCAGCAGTTACAGAAAGAGGGGTGACATTTTCTTTCAACGTAAAGTGCGCACATGATTGTTTCCTATGTGGAATGTGGTTTAGCGTGTTAGCAATGTCCATTTATTTATACAGTCTGTGATACCAACACAGTTTAAATGTCTGAGAGTGAGTTGTCCAAAAAGCTACAGAAAGAGATGTCAGAAATATAATAGGAGTTGGATGAGTGGTTGTTAGTGAAAGACAGATGGGGCAGATTGGCAGCCTCACTATTAATCTAATGTATCCAAGGGCACTGGACTGTGGCTACATTATCATACCACCACCGAGTATGGAGTAAATGAAAAATGCACCGCAACTTTAGCACTTTAGGTGGCTAGAAGTTTTATATAACAGGGTAGCCGCGAGGTCTTAAAAGTCTTAAAAAGGTCTTAAATTTCATGTTCCTAAATTAAGGCCTTAAAATGTCTTAAATTATGTTGTCCAAGTCTTATTTTTTTCACAAAGGGCTTAAATTTCATTAGCCTGTTTTTTTGTTTACTCAACCGGGCTGCAGTGCAATGTTAAATGGAGGGAGGAAAAAAAAACAACAACGTGAAATAATGTAACATGAATGAATGTCTAATTTGGAGTATGTGCAAACAATACTTACAATACTGGCAACAGTGAGTAAACAATCATTTCCGTCTAAACTGCCCAAGACGCAAAACTCTGGTCAGATCTGCTCACGTCGCGTACAAGTTTACCACCAAGCCGCCCGGTATGCATACCCAATTGAATGCCACACACTTTTGCATCACCGTATGCACGCAGGTATCTTCCCAAAAGGGCTCGTCTAAATGCGGGGAAAAAAGTGAAGACGCTGTGCCACTTTTATGTCTTCTGTTCAGACATCATCACATAAACGTAGCCTAAGATTCTAGATAAAGTAGCGGTAGTTGGTTGGTCATTATTAGAATTAGACCTTATGTTTTTCACCCGCATAATGGGTGTGACGTTGGTCTTAATTTTCATTTAAGTGATCTTAAAAAGGTCTTTAAAAATTCTTAAATTTGGGGTAGTAAAACCGGGGGATACCCTGTATAAATCAAATTCACCTTTATTGTTATTGATTTTGAGTAAAAGCAAAATGTATATATGTATTTATTTATTTTTTTTACCTTGGTGATTGAGATTATATTTACCATCTAGAACATATCACATATCATAATGTGCTAGCTTTGGCCTGACAGAAGAAGACCAGAGAGCACAGGTGAGCCTCAACAAAGGCCTGGTGAGGGGAGGGGGGGACAGGTTTTACATCTGCCATCTACTGGTGAAAAAATCTAAACTTACTGACAGTAGCTTTAATGCTCTAGTTCCACAGATCAGTATTTAGTCTGACATGGCCACTTAAAGGAAATGTGTTTTTACACCCTTAAGTGAAGGATTAGTTTAAGTACATCAGAAGGGAGCGCTGCTCTAAGTAAGGCTGTCTGAAAAAGGTTTGAAAAATGTTGTGGATAAAATTGATAAAATACTTTTTAATACAAAGGAGTGCATTGTTATTTGGACTCTTATGTAACTGTGTTTATACTAATTTCAGATTATGTAATTGAGGTTAAATTATCAAAAAATATCAAGTGATTTTCTGAAACAATATGGGCGTCAGTCTCGTGCCTTCAGGCTGTGGGAGACTCCTAATGTTTTGGCCCTTCCTTTTCATATTAAATAAATGAATACATATTGGATTACTGCTTTCCAAAAAGTGATGTCTTGCCCACCCTTAGGCGCAGATACACAGATGTTTTATAATAAAATGAAAATAAATTACACTTTCTGTTTATCATTTGCAGCTGCCTGTGTGACACTGTCCAGGCCACATCTGAAGCTTGTATTCCTCTTGTCACTTGTCCTGAAGCTGCCTCTCTGATCGGAGCTCTACTGCAGAGACCATTCACCAGTGTCAAAGCCCCTTTAAGTGAAGACTTCATTCAGGCTACAGGTTCTGCATACTCCTGGTAAGCAGAGGCCACAATGTGAACATATGTTAGAACCATTTGCTATCCAAAGTGAACTAAAACACATCCAGCTTGCAGAAGGCTGTAGTTCTAAACAATACGTCACAAAATTATTGTTACTGCAATATCAGCCAAGGTCATACTGCAAGAATAATTTGGCAGATAAGAGTGAGGCATTCCAGTTTATATTTTTGTCCCCATAAGGCTTATTAAATTGGATTCATCAACCGGTTTCACTTTGTGGAAACCGTCTGACCTTGCAGCATTAGGATTCGTTAGCTCGATGGTAGGCAAGTACTTTTAAATTTAACCAGTCGCTGCTATTTGGTCGTGACGATGTAATTCGCCTCTAACTGGTATCTTAAGCTTTTCCCAAATCCTGTAAGAAGAAGGGCAATAACTTCTTTCCCCTTGATGAAATTCACCAAACATTCTCTTTGTTTTGGCTTTAAATCCTCGATCTTGGGAATCATTGCCAGCACAGAATGTACGGCTTTTCACTGATTGGCTGGTACCCGGACTTGCACTTCCAGGGTTCTTGCAAACTGTCTAGTTTATTCCAATTCCTAATCGCTGGAGAGAAATTAAATTGAGTGGAGGCACTAGGTGGCGCCAGCCTGGCTAAATAAAGGTGGCACATTATGCAAAATATCTGGAGTTGTATAAAATAAGAAATAATGAACTATGGGTTGTCAGAGATTATAACTGTATAGCAGATAAAAACACGATATGTCTTAAGTTTAATTGAAAATGTGTGATTTTAACATCCGAGGTCCATTTTAGTCGTGATTTCTCTAGTCTTGCTTTAAGCCTTGTTTGTTCTGAGATTGTGTGACTATTAGGAAACAACTTCATGACACTAACACGGACAGCTGTTTCTGCTTCATGGTGCAATATCACAATGGCAGAAAGGACTACGTGGGCGGGCTAGAAGAAGTTCAAATTAAACTCACTCATCCAGGCCTTTTTAATAACAGATCAATAACATCTCGTGCGTCTTTGGTAGTGTGCAATCTCTGTTCTTCTTTGACAGCCGGCTCTTGTCACTGGAGGCTCCAGCGGTGGTCTCCCTCTGGTGGCACAGTGTGTCCAGTCTGGAGGACGCCGTGCTGAGGCTGATGGAGCAGGTTCTGACCGACAACAAAACTACATCTCACAAATTACAGCAGCTGATTTCTGAGTCCTTACTGGTGAGTTTTAGTGAAGGGTCACGGGCAAGAATCTATTTATCTTTGTAGTGTAAATACATGTGGTATTTATTTTATTTTACTTCAAGGTGCACTAGGTAACTATTCTACTGAGGGCATAGTATGACATTAAACTGGTTAATCTTGCGTTTATTTAATTACAGGCGTTTTCATTCTTTAAAGTTTCCATCTGTGTTAGGTTCCCTTTGCTAGGGGAGAAGGGAAGTAACAATAAACAATAAAGAAAACAAGATGTTAAAGGTTTAATTAAAAATTGTGAAGGGGGAAAAAAAACAAAGACAGGTAGCAGTGAAATAAAAAGATTCAAACAAAAAATAAACTACTAAACTGAGGAGCCCTAACTAAATACAACAAAAAAAAGCCTAACTAAAGTTGTACAGCAAACAAGGTGTCTCGACAAAATCAACGAACAAAAGGCAACATCTTAACAAAAAAATGAGACAACCAAAAAAAAGCAAACAACCGAACGAAAAGGGCGAGCTGGCACACAGGTATCCAGAAGAAGACAGTTCTTTTATACTCCGCGCCCCACAGGTGGCATTTGCGGATTGGTGGAGGCGGATCGCTGAGCGATACAACGCCCAACCTCCGTCCGACGGTCTCTGCTCCCGCACATCCGAGTCCAGGGCTCGCCGACCGGTCGTATACACACACAAAAGAGACAACGGGTGTACTAATAATAAGACACCAAAGGGTTGAAGCCCGTAACAATCTGTAATTAGAATGGCAGACCCACGCCGATTGTATTCTCACATATCACCACCAGACTCTGTTTATGTTACTGCAGTCTGATCGTGTGCCAGTTTTGGTCTGACAGAAGAAGACCAGAGAGCACAAGTGAGTCTGAACAAAGGCCAGGTGAGGTGGCAATAGGTAGCTTTAAATGAATATAATTCATACTGTGAAAGGGCTCGCCTGTCCACATATCTGACCTGTAACTTGGCGTGGTGAAGTAGAGATAAGTTTACTCCCATGCCAAATAAATAATGATATATGGATTGATAACTAATAATCTTTTGTTCATGCATTTATTTAACCTTTTTATTTATTCACTTTTTTAACATTTTATTTTATTGATTATTTTCAGTTGCCTCAGTAACATGACATCTGTTGCTTGTCTAGTTGGTTTACTCAGCGCCTTTTGTATCCACTCCGTTAATACGTTTAATTGATACAAAGCACTACCAGACTCCACATGGATTTAGTTGTGAATGTGGAAATAAAACGTTGTTGACTTTTTCTACCCCTTTTATTGTTTTTCTTAGTTTCATATTTATATTTTTATTGATATGGGAAAAATTATAAGACATTAGACAATAAATGTAGACACACGTGTTCAATTTTATGAACCAAAAACTACAACTTAAAAACAAAAACAAAAAATCTTACAAATCTTGTGCGAAGAAACCAATATGAAAAAAATCTTAGAAAATCATAAAAAAAAAAACTAAGCAAGAAAATATTAAAAAATATATATAAATTAATAAAAAAATAAAACAGTTATAAAGATAAATAAAAATATATAAATTAAATAGATACATACATAATATATAAATAAAATATATATAAATAAAATAAAAATTATAATAAAAAGACAAACAAAAAAACAAGGGGTAGGGGTTGGCATTGACAGTTTAAAATAAGTCAGTAAATGGTTGCCACTTCCTAAAAAATGTGTTTATGATATTCCTGGAATACCTAATCTTCCCCCTACTTTCAGAAAGGATTGTATTGTTATTCCCATGAAGTGTAGTGTTGAGGTTCAGTTATCATCTGGGCATTACTTTTGCTGTTTGATGGCTCTGCGTAGACTGTTTTGAGTTGTGCTTTTGGCTCTGCTCTGCGTGCGTCTCACATCATTTGGCTCGGTGGTAACTCGGTCTCACGTCGTTTGGCAGCTGCTCCTCAGATTCACTGAACCCTGAGTTACATTAGAGCTCTGGGCTTTGTGCAATCGGCAAACTTCAGAGAAATCTACCAGTGATTTTGAACTGAGATACTGACTACTGTTTGGGATTGCTTTTTAACATTAGTGATTTATTAGGTGAAATTTTATTCACAGAGCAAAATTCACTACATCGACATGAGTTGAAATGGTCTTGAATTCTGAATATTAGTAAAATTGACTTGTTTACTTTTTTTTGTTTTACTTATTTAGTTGCACATCTTAACTTCAAATATCTTAATCCATATTTACATAATTGAATAAAAACCAATCTAAACAAATGTAAAAAATATTGATCATTAAAAAACCTTGAAACAAAAAGCTATAGATACAAACAAAAAATAAATAAATAAACTGATTATTTGAAATCAAAGCCTTTTTAATAGTAAATGCACCCATTTACTCTTGCAGATTTTCATTCATCCAAGTCACTACTACAATGTTTATCAATGTTTATCTGGTCTAACTTGTATGCACAACTGTCACTTTAAAAACTATTTACGGCAATTTATGAAAGGAAAAAAGAAAGTATACAATGACCTCTAGATGAAGAAAAGTGGGCCGTTTTTGTCAGTTTTCCCAGATTTCCCAGATTTTGTATCGCCAACAGAGCCCAAAGGAAGTCGTCATCCGCATGTTTCCAAACGTCTTCCAGTTTTGTGATGTAACTGTGAATAGATCCCAATTTTACGAGTACAAAAACGTAGATGCGATAATTATTGAGCCTGAAAAACTATTGCATATGTATATAGTATTTGTCGTGACAGCCGTAGGAAGCGTTACTACTCCAGGTATGGTGTCTAAAACTACTCTGAGAAGCACATGTTCTTTCAGTAAACACAACCAAATAACAAAATCTAAAACACTAACGCAAACTTGTTTTGAACCAGGTGTAATATCATAAACTAAAGAATTGTGTGTCCGGGCGTAGGCTCGCACGTGTGCGTGTGAACTGCCAACGTGATAAAAGCTGAGGTCAAACGCAGATGTACCACTTTAAACAAACAAATCCTGGACAGGGCCATACAGTAAACAGCCAGTGATTGCAGGTTCACTGTGTCATACATAAAACATTACAACACAAGTCCAAGTGTTTACAAAACTCTTCCCCTAACAGCCATACCTGATTACAGTGAGTTTGTCCATGAAACCAATCAACAGGGAAGTGGATTTGGTGTACAGGCTATTCTATTTATTTAGACACTTACAAACAGTTCGCATTCAAGACGTTTTCAGGTCTGCAACAGGAATTATGCAGTTCTAGTGGACCATCACCACACCAGTGACAGAACTGACAAACTTGTGTGGAAGGGATCTAAGTTGGCAGAACATTTCCAACATTTCTCTCCAAAAGTATACGAAAATTTGGTTTAAAATGTGCACTATGTAATCCATTTTCAAATTTCCTTCTGACGCATTAGGGGCCAATGTTGAACCTGAGACCACAATCGCAATATTTAATATCACTGCAATTTGTGTGTTTCCATAAAAAAATATATAAAAATGTAATTGCTTTTAGCACACTCCTGGCTTAAAGAGGAATACTGCTCAAGTGGAAAGACAAGGCCTACACCATCTAACGTTAAAGGAAATTAGATTTCCTGTAACAGTGTTTCCCAAACTTTTTTCTCTGGGGATCCATATTTTTAAAAGTCACAAACCTTCACAACCCAAGTCAACAGGCATTATTCGTAAATCACAAAATAAAGGTGTATTTGACCATTATTGAACATTAATGAGGATATTTTATTGTTGACTGAGTGATCATGTCTCTCTGAACAATTACTATTGCTCAAGTTTAAACAATTAAAAACAGTAATTGAGCCAGCAATAAAAGGATCCATAAGTCGCTTCTTTGGACATTAAATGCATCCCATTTCTTTTTTGTTTCAACATTCAATTGAACCAGCAATTTTGGAACAAAATAGTCAATAAAATCATTACAAAAAGATTAGAAATGATACAAAACATGTCTTAACATTTCAACATTTCTAATAAGATAGGTGGGCCTGTCTGCGTTTTTGTAGCACGTTCCAATCTGGGGTGCAGGAGGAGAGTTCAACACACAGATCAGACGCAGCATTCAGACTGTTTCTGCACTTTGTCTTCATTTTTGTGAGCACAGATCTGTCATGTGTCAGAACTGTATATTGCAGACCTACATGCAGATCGTGACAAGGCAACCTAAAAAAAAATCTCTCTTGTGACCCAGTCTTTGGGAAACAATGTTCTATAAGATGATTCGTTTTCCAGTACTTGGCAAACTGTAATGTGTTTAACCTGCTTATTTAATCAAATGCTCAATAAAAACAGAATTCAACAAAACAAAATAAAAATAAAAGGTACACTGTGTAGCTTTTTTGAAAGATTATCCATAGTCCACTTGTTGCTATAGATTTTTTCTAGAATGTTTCATGGCATTACACATCTTGCTTCTTCAAATAAACCTTGACCTGTAACTTTCCACCACCACAAGAAAAGTTACATAGTTTTTGTAGCCTTACAGTAGTCCTATATGATGATATTTGAGCCACAGTTAGTTCTAGTGTCAATCATAGGTGCTAATTATTTCGTTAGGTTAGGTTAGGTTAGGTTAGGTTAGGTTGCTTTATTCGTAGCTGTAGGTAAATTTGTTTTGCAGATTTGAGAGGCAAGTCCCACATTTCACATTTCATTCATCCACATTATGTACAATAACATGTATAAAAACACAATTACAAAATAAAGTGTTACTGTGACCAACAACTGAAGTATTAAATAGTGCTTTTTATTCATTGTTGGGCCGATTTCTTACAACATGGTCCAAATAGAAAAAGATTTACTGTAATTATCCTAAGGGAAGAGCCCATATGTATTTTTGAGCCGATACGATACCTGATATTTGGCTTCTGCTGTGCCCGATATTTGCCCACCATGTCATAATTGTTTCCTCCTTTTATTTATCCTCTTGAAATTGTATTTGGAGTGATTCGTGCATGTTTGAACAATATTTATTCACTTATTTTAATCACTGTGTTCTCCTTTTCATTAGTTTTGTTACATAATACTATATGTTTTTGATTTTAGTAATTACTTGGTCCACTACTTTTTATTTCTACATGATTCATTTTGAGTAATGGTGTCCTACCTCGAGAATAATTTTTGCTTCTCTACCACCTCTGCATATGATTGCCTGCATGTGTGACTGCCCTCCTCGCCCCCCCTCCCTCTGTTGTTTAAACTATAATCAAAAATGGGAAACATGAAATCGAAGCCACATTCCTCGTCTTGGCTTGTCCTGCCCCACGATTCGGGCCCAATAACAATAAACACCAACTTCCTGGACCACTCTGCCAAAAACAGGATGTTTGTAGCGTGCCGTAATTGAACCTCCTTAAAGTGTTAGTGGTAAGGTATGAAAAGAGATGCTAAAAACGCCCATATGTTTGTATTGTGGATAGGCTGGGCAGTGCAGATACATAGAGGAGACAGCGTTATGTTGCAGGGATACAGTTTATAGACAGAATGTGCATATGAGCCAAGCTGAATGGAGAATACAACAGGATTTAGGGAATGTTAATGAGAAGTGTGTAATGATGTAAAGTGAGCACTGGGTGGAGCTCTTACACTTCAAGATTTTTTCCTAGAAAGTTATCCAACGCCTGATTAGAGGTCATTTGAGTTTATTTGTCCGTGCTTGTAAGTGTTGATCACAGTATTTCTAGTCCCAGTGATATTTAGACTATGATTAAACATGAAACAGAGGAGAGAAAAAAAAACTGAATCAGGTAAAAGTTAGCAAAAGAGCTTTATTTTACCAGTATAATCAAAATTATATGTTTTAATTGTTTATGTATACATTTTTAACCAATTAAAATTAGTCACACTAAAATTAAATTCAGAATTTGTTTCATAAGAGAGGCCCGGCCAAAGTAGGAGCAAATGCAATTAACAAAATACAAAAAGTCACAAAATATTATCTTGGGAATTTACTAGGGCTGGGTATCATTCAGAATTTGCAGATACGATACATACCCCGATTCAGTGCACTTTTTATTTGATGTGATATATTTCAAATTGATTCGATACGGTTCAATAAAAAAATAAAGGGTAAATCATGGCTGTGATACTAAAAATCTTTGTTAAACTCTTAAAATCTTTGTCAAATGTGTTGCATCAATGAGTTTCCTCTAAAGGGGCAACAAAACTGTAGCGCTGTCAAAATAATTTAGTAAGATATACCAAAAAATACTCTTTGCGATATAGCGATACAACAGCCCACGATATCAATACTGTGTTATCAGATTAAAAATACAATATATCGATATTTCAATATTTTTGCACACCCCTAGAATTTACAGACAAATTTTCGCATTCATCCTAAGTGCCAAAAGAAACACATCAAACAGAAATCTTCCCATTTTGTTTTAATTATCATTTGCCCTGTAGGAGCCATTATTTTGTTTAATTAAAAGAAATGTATATATACTTTTCTTTTAAAGTTTTTACTGCAAATACCTCAAAAAGCCAAACAATAATCAAAATATTGTGATATCGTATCGTCAAAGTTTTCACAATAATATCGTTGACCATCAAAATATATCGAATTAAGTCTCTTTGCTTAAATTAAGAGTTATGGTGCAGCAACAGCTAGGAACTACATAGACCATGATCCTTTGCTCCATTTCAGTGTAGACTACAAGAAGAAATATCTGTTCTAAGCACTTTTAAGTCATAGTTCTTTGGATTAAGTCTTGTCAAGGCATTTTAAGAGGAAAAAGTAACATATTAACAGTTTTGTTAACCTCCACAAAATATTGCAGTAAATATACCATGAGATGTATGTAGTATCAATATCGTACAGAGAGATTTGGATATTGTTACATCCCTATTTGTGAGCCTCCCCACCACATCGTGAGCTTTCCCACAATATCTTATTAAATATCGTACCATGGGCTTCATATTGTGACTATATCGTATCGTGAGACTTGGATATCGTTACACCCCTACTGAATATATAAACATACAAGATGGAGAAAGTACCATTGAGTATGAGGACTTGGGGAGTGGATGAATAATTCATACAAATGTAAATTCTAGAGTACACACATGACTAATGTATTATGATTATTATTATTATTAATTTCAGAGTGTTGAAGACTAAGGCACATAAGTTTGTAAGTGCTGCTTTTACAGTGGACAAAGTGGGTAAAAGAGTGAATAGAGATGGGGAATAGGGAAGTCAAATACAGTTTGTGATTAAACAGCGACCCCCGGTGGTCAGGGTTTTAAGTGTGCTCTTTCCCCTGGATATTGTAGGTGGGCACATTACCATGACTAGTAAATATAACATATCTAGAATAATCAGATACGACAATAATTAAAATGCTTTTGTTGTGTGTTTACATGCACAAGAGAACTCTGATCAGCAAAAACCCCTGGTGACTCACATCAGATGGTTTTGCATTTCACATTTCAGTAATCTGATAACTCCAGAAATCGGATAGTGATAGGATTTTTGGTGCGCATGTAAAATAATCGTTGTTCTTTGTTGTGTGTTTCAGCCCAAAGCCTGTGCTCAACATTGTTCCATATTCTTGGTTGTGAATGACATTTTCAGGTGAGTTTTACAAATGTATAGTGATGAATACATTTCCTCAAAACTATAACACGATGGTCTTAACATAATTGTCATAACATTCTTGTCTTTTCCAGCTGTGCTCTTAAACAAATGGAAGAAAATGAATCTTTAAGACTTCTCATCACAACATTTACAACACACTTCCTCAAAGAATTGGCAACACAGAAACAACAGGTATGTTTTTTATCCTTATTTTGTATTGTAACACTGATTTCTGAGATTTTTTTCCACATAGAACAAGCAAGGTTTAGTGTACAAACCTTAAGTGTACAAAGGACACTCTCTCTGATCTGAATCTTCTCTACCCAAATATTAATCATTGCTAGTGCAGCCTGTGCAGCTCAGACTTAATTCTAGAGGTTTCCGAGCTTTCACCTGACCTGTCCATGTACTGAGAATGAGAAAAACTTGTAGGTGTTCTCTATCTGCAGGTTAAGGCACTAGCAATCAGTTGTGATTTTAGTAATTTTTTTAATTAGTTAGAGCACAGGCTACACACAGTTCATTTAACACAGGGGTGTCCAAACTTTTTTCATCAAGTGCCACATCTCTAAACACAGATGAAGCAGAGGCTGATCGAGGGCCATAGACTGGTGTTCAGTGCAGTGAATAACTGAAATATGTGCATGTTTAACAGTCCTTTATTTATGCTAAGATCCTCAAAACCACACACTAATTATTAAATATTGGCTTTATCAAGGTAGATTTTGAAAAAAAGTTAATTTTTCATTGATGCAAGGTAATTCAGGCCAATTCTGAGCGCCAAGAAAATTTGTCTAAGGGCCACATTTGGCCCATAGGCCATAGTTTGGACTAGGGATGGGCATTCGATTAAATTTTCTTAATCGATCGTCGGGAGAATTAATGATTGATTATTGATTAATCATTAGCCCGTTTGAGGTTATAATGTGTTTAATGCAGTTTTGCGCAAGTCTCACAAAAACGAAACTTAAAACCGCATCGCTAATTTGCATAAATTAAGCGAAGAAAAAAACAGCTCTTATGCACTGATGTGACACGACTCAGGTGAATACAGGTTAGTGTGACCATATTTGCGTTTGTCAAAACCAGGACACTGTGGGAGGTGGGGACTCGTCATCGACATTGTGCGACTCTCACCTGGCAAAGCTTTTTCCCACTGGACACCGAAACATATGTGCTGTTTTGTACACTGTGCACATGGACTCACACTTGTCATGAACACAACGGAAAGCGTGGAATTTCTTGTACAAGTCATCGTTAAATACGCATTTGCGCTTCGGCACGTTGCAGACTGACCGACTGTTTGTGTTTGCTCGCTCCTTCTGAGTGCAGAGAGACACATGTACGGACCCGTTCGGTCACCCTACGCTACGCACAGCAACCTACATTCAGTTTGTCGATTAAAATGAACATAATCGATGAAATTCTTAATGATCAATTATCAATTTATCTACTAATCATGCCCATCTCTAGTTTGGACATGCCTGATTTAATGATACATTTCAAGATACATAACAGTTTTAAATGCTATTGACATGTGATTCATTGGAAAAGCCATATGCACAGAAGCTTAAATTGGCATAATATCCTACCAGTATAAAATCACAGTTACAGTCTAGTTAGTATGAAATTGGACTCTGCTCTTGGTGACACATTTGCACTACCAGTCAAAAGTTTGGATGCACTTTTCTATTTCATGTTTTTTTTTATGTGGATTGTAGATTCTCACTGAACAGAGAAGAATCCCACTCACCGTTCTACTTGCAAATTGTGAACTTAATTAGGACATCAACAACGTTACGGCGCCAGGGCTTCATCAGGCAAATAGGGGAAAAGCTCTAGGTGGCCTTCTTAAATAGGGTGTGGCAAGCACCCAAGGGTGACAGGTTGTTAAATGAAATGAAAGTTTACCAAAAAACAATCAGTTAATACATTTACATACTGTGTAAAATTTAAACAACCCAGATTAAAACTATGAATTACACATGTAGCAAATAAAACATTTATTCAAAATAACTCAAAACACTTTTTGATTTTAAAAAATGACCTTTATCTTTTGCTTTGATCACACTGCATTGCACTTTTGTCATTTCTGACCCTGACATTCACAGCTGTGAAGTGAAAACCATTTCAGAAGACTGCATCAAGAAGCACTTTGAGAGAAGGCCAAGGGTTTGCAGGCTGTTAACAAAGCAAAGGGCTGTCATTATGTGGATTTGAATATAAAATATAGAAGAAGAATCTTGAGTTATTTAACATTTTTCTTTACTACATAATTCCACATCCCTTAATATATAATTGATGTTTTCTGTGTGTATATAAATGCAGAAAGTAGTAAACATAAAGAAAAAAAATGTATGTAAACAGTGTATGTAACATTACAATAGTCTCAACGCAAATTGAATTCACCTTTTTCAACTAATAATCTTATTTCAGATCCAACATTTCTTTCTGACCGTTTTAGACTTCTGTAGGCTCCATGCTACACATACATACATCATAGTTATGTCATGGACTGTCACCCATTACAGCTGACCCAAAATATCAAACCAGATCCGCCCCGTTTGATTTATGACCTGTTTCATGCTTTTCCAACTACCCCACATCTTTTTTTCTCCTCAATTAACCAGTAGATGGCAGTACTACAGTGCTTTTCCACACCACCTGCTTTTAACTGCTGTTGATGCAGGACACTAAACGCCACCTATTACACGCTACATTAGCTGTCAGCACCTCCTGTATCGCGGTTACACAAGCACCCTTTCCAAACAGCATTTCTCAGCCTTTCACTGCCCCGTGATGTATGAGCCAGAGGAGGGCTGGATTTCAATTCATTAAGCAGGGTAGTAAAAAACTAAAACTGCACTCTGTACTACATATTTATTTCAACAAGTATCGGATTCTGGAAAAGGTAATTTTAACATCTGTTAATCTCATGTTGTGTAAAATAGTCTTACAACGATTAATCAACTAATCATCACAATCATAACAATGACTAATAAAAGAATATATATATCATCTTAATAATTAGTTGCAGTCATTCTCTGACTATATACACTCTAAAACCAAAAGACTCTTTTACAAAACAAAGGCCGTGGCAATATTTAATGAAAAATGAAAAAAAAAAAAAAAGATTTTCATCAATAATACAATTATAATAACAAAATAATTTATTATTTATTCATTCATATTTTCTTTTTAGTCAGTCAACGTATTTCAAGCTTTTATATGGTTACAAATGTATTTAAAAAACTTAAATTGACAATAGAAATATTTGTTGACTTGTCAAGTAATCTATAAAATAACATTGCATCCATAACTATATTTGGGTTTTTCATTTGACATTTACATAAAAAAAATCAATAATAATAATAATAATAATAATAATAATAATAATAATAATTAAATTATTATTATTATTATTATTATTATTATTATTATTATTATTATATTATTATTTATTTATTTATTTTTTACTTAAATACATAAATAAATGAATTCATCTTTTAATCAGTACTATTTAAAACAGAAATTTGTCCAATTTACTCCTCAAAAAGTCTGACCAATAGTTTTATTTTAACAGAAATTAATATTATAGTCACTATTATAGTCACAATATCAAATTTAGTTACAGAAGATGTTGCTGTAGCCCAACATTTGATATACATACAATTAGTAAAGGAGATAAGAATTTACTGTTGGACTACAATCAATGTGCTTTATAACAAGAATACAAAAGAAATCATATGAGGTAGTGAGAGCTTTTACTCTGTGTCACTATTCACTGTTCTGAAGCAGAGTAATAAATGTGTTGTTGTTTCAGAAGAGCGTCCCTTTGAAGGCGTACTTCCCAAAAGCTCCTGCGGGGGTGCTGCTGCCTCTGCTGACCCAGCCCTCAGGTCAGTGCAGTGGGTCGACTCTGGCCCGGGACATGGCACAAAGCACAAAGCCTGCTATTGTGAGGAACTGGTTTTGAGAAATGTCCCTCTACTATTCTTTAACTCGGAGTAAACACTGATTTCCTGCGGCAAAATTATCATAGATTTACTAATCAATAATAAAAGTTAATTTAATACTAATACTAACCCCACTCCCAGTGCATACAATGGTTGTGTTTGCTTTACAAATCTGATCATTACCTGATTTCTGGGGTTGTCATATTACTGAAATGTCACGTAAACAGTTATGTCTGAGCTGAGTAATCTGATTTCTTTCTGATTGTTCACAACTGTCCAAATTTTGACTAGAAAAAATATCCAAAAAGGGCAAACTAATGTGGCAAAAACAAAAATTAAATGTTAAAAGGCCCATATTACACTGTGTTCTGATCTGTTACTATGTTAGTTCCTCATCAAAAACGTACCTAGAGTTATGTTTTGTTTCATTTACACATGTTTAACGTAAAACCGTGCATGTTTAGGCTGAGTTCTTCCCTCAAACACTCTGTTCCACCTTGTGATGTCATGTGGTAATACAGGAAGTGCTCTGTTGTGTTTTAAAATGCAATACACCTTCATAAGAATCATTTGGAAAATTTCAGCTCTGGAATGAGTAATTTAAAGGTAAAAGGTAGTTGTTAACTTGAAAATGACTGCTTCATCACAGAGTGGAAGAACATTTTGAGCTTTGGAGATGTAGACAACTCCAGGTATTTTTTTGACGAAGAAACAACTTTATAACATGGATCAGAAAATAGCGTAATATGGGCCCTTTAAGGTTCAGAGGTGCATGTTTTTAAACCGTAATTGGGATCTGGTGAATCTTCTTTTCCATCTGAACTTCTAATATGACCAGGGTTTAATTACAAGTCTCAAACAGGATAAATATGACTAGACATGAGTCCCTTTGACATTTGGTATAATTTAAATGCTTTGTGACTTATCCTCTATTTTAGCCATTATGAGGGCACATACATTAACAAAGGAGCAAGCAGACGACATCACAGACGGCTGACCTGGATTAACTTTCATAATAATAACTATATAGCTTTTTTTTCTATTGCAGCTAGGAAACAATCTCCTTTTCTAAAATAATTTAATTTATAGTTTAATACATGGGTTACAATAGCTATACTTTTTTTTTTTTAACAAAATAAAAAACTAATAATTTCTATAATATTTGTTAATATTAATAATAATTATTATAATAATTTGCTATATGATAATTATTTATTAAAATTATGATTATCTCTTTGAAGGGCCCATATTACGCTGTTTTTGATCTATGCTATAATGTTTTTTCCTCATCAAAAATCACACCTGGATTTGTGTTTTGTTTCATTCACACGTTTAATACACTGCTTATTTAGGGTGTGTTCTTTTTTCAAATGGATAACACTCTGTTCCACCTTGTGATGTCATGCGGTAATTCAAGAAGTGCTCCACTGTGTTTTTAAACTCCATACACTTTCACTAGAATCAGTTAGATGATTTCAGACCTAGAATTGCCAATTTGTATTGAACTAAAGGTAAAATGTTGATGTTAACTTGAAAACTACCTCATTATGACATCACAAAGTGGAACACAGCATTTTGAGCTTTGGAGATGTGGACAGTAGCCAGGCTGGTGCAACCTAGTGCCTCCTCTCAATTTCATTTCTCTCCAGCGAATAGGTCAGAAATCAGAATACACTAGATGGTTTGCAAGCATTTTGTGGTTCTGCGCAACAGTAAACAAAGCGGTTGAGATGGATGTAGACAAAGACATTCATTCTGTGTTGGCAATGATTCCCGAGATTAAGGATTTAAAGCCGGAACTAAGAGAATGTTTGGTGAATTTTATCAAGGGGAAAGACGCTATTGCCCTTCTTCCTACGGGATATGGGAAAAGCTTAATATACCAGTTAGCCCTGTTAGTGGTGCATTAAAAAAGTAAAAAAGTACCCACCTACTGTCGAGCCAATGAATCCTAATGCTGCGAGGTCCGATGGTTTCCACAAAGTGAAACCGGCTGATGAATCGGGCTATGTGAAAAGACTAATAAACCAAGATTACTCAAACATGTGTGAATGAAACAAAACACAACTACAGGTGTGTTTTTGAGGAGCTGACAACATTATAACACAGCTTAAAGCTCACAAGAGTCCATTTTGTGTAATATAGGATCTTTAAAGTTAAGTTTCTTTTAGGTGAAATAGGAGACATAACTGAGAGACGAACATCCACATGTAATAAAAGGTCACAGAATGGCAGCCATGGTTTTGTTAGTCCTTCTACCACGATATTGAACTTTTAAAGTGCAATATTTAACACATTTCTGGGTTTCAGAAAACATTACGTCATTCTATACATCTCTCGCTTAGCTTCCATGTGCCATTGTGAGGACTTTTGCTCATTCTAGAGATATCATATTTAGAATTGAATAGAACAGAATTTTTTCCATCTCTCTGAAACCCCTGGATTGGCCCAAAATATTTAATACAGATGGGAGTAAAAATTCATATAGTTTAGATGCATATTTTTTTTGTTATAAAGCGAGCTCTGGGGTGAAATGATCAGGTTCAACATTTTTCAGTTGACGTTTTTGGGCATTATGACAAAAAATAATGACGTTGACTGGGAGAAGTGGCTCTTGCCCCCGATCTGGGAGTATTACATCATCACACTCTAAAACCTGAAAACCACCAATGGGCCATTATTTTATGAAACTGTTGTTTTTATTGCTGTGTCTATATTGATACTTTGCAGCTGTTGCCATCAATGTTCCCCGGGGGTGTGATGCTAACTGTAGGCACTGCTCTATCTGGGACTTGTTAGACTTTAATCTCAGCTTTATTTTAACACAATCTGACTAGAAAGTGCTTACCTAGTTGGAAATGCAAACGGTGAGCTGATTTAGGTTGTTGAACAAGCCCCTCTTAAATAACATTACAGTCACAAGCTCAGCCCAGAGTTTTTCAGTTAGTCGCTCTCACCTTTTCTGTTAAAAATCAAACATGTAAACAGGAGCATGAACGCTCGTGTTAATCAAAGGCTTCTGAGAATGTGAAGTTAAATTTATTTTTTTTTCCTTTATCTAAAGACATATCAGGTTGTGTTTGCTAATGTGTGCATTGTGATTCCAATGAACTACAGGGTTCCCACAGTCATGGAATTCCTGGAAAAGTCATGGAAATTGAAAATGTCATTTTCCAGGCCCGGAAAAGTCATGGAATTTTGTAAATTCATTGAAAGTTTTGGAAAAGTCATTGAATTTTAGTATCTGTTTTATGCAACTACAGCGTTTGTTAAGTTTTCATTATGACTATTATGATTTTTTCCAAACGTATGTGCCTTTTGTGTAAACGAGACAACAATAAATGCACTGACAGTATTTTGAATGTTAAAAAATTATAATACCAAACCATAAGGTGAGAGAAAAGGGTTAACATTTCATATTTAGCCCTAAAAGTCTGATCAATTCTACACATGTAGGGTGTAAAGTAGTCAGGCTGGTGCCACCTAGTGCCTCATCTGAATTTCACTTCTCTCCAGCGACTAGGTCAGGAATCAGAATACACTAGTTGGTTTACAAGAATCCTGGAAGTTGTAGACCGTGCACTGGCCAATCAGCGAAGAGCTGTGAAGCCATGAGGTCAAACTCAAGCGCCTGTCTGGGTTCCTTTTTGTGGTACAGCACAACAGTAAACAAAGCGGATGAGATGGATGTAGACGAAGACATTCATTCTGTGTTGGCAGTGATTTCCGAAATCCAGGATTTAAGTCCGGAACAAAGAGAATGTTTGGTGAATTTTATCAAGGGGAAAGACATTATTGCCCTTCTTCCTACGGGATTTGGGAAAAATATAATATACCAGTAAGCCTCGTTGGTGGCACATTACATACGTCATACCCGCCTACCGTCGAGCGAACAAATCCTAATGCTGCGAGGTCAGACGGTTCATCAGCTGGTTTCACTTCGTAGAAACTGGCTGATCAATCAGGCTAGCCATAAAGTCATGGAACATTCACTTTCGGTCATGAAAAAGTCATGGAAAAGTTTAGAAATTTTGTCAGTGAAATAGAGTGGGAACCCTGTAACTACTGCACATTCCACTATAGAGATACATGTAGAACAGCCCGAGCATGATGACTTTTTTTTTTTAAAGGCACAAACCAGCTCACCTGTTATAGCTCTTTCTAAATCAACTCTTTCTGGTCAGATTGTGTTAAAACAAAGCTCAGATTAAAGTCTAACTTGAGTAACAGAGCTTCAGACAGAGCAGAGCCTACAGCTAGAATCACACCCCAGGGAATGTTGACGACATCGGCTGCAAAGTATCAATACTCTATGTAATTTGGACACAGAAAGATTTTTTTTTTTTTTTTTTAATATATTGAGTCTTGAATAGTACTGGAGGATGCACAGAGTAGGTGAATGCAGGGACAGTGGAGCGTAGCTTATCTGCATGTGTCCAGACCAGACTGTAGGCAGGACTGAGTCTCATGAATGGAGCCATTTAGGGACAGACTGGAGCTCGGCCACAGCTCAGGGTTAATAATTACTGCCCATGTTTGTGCTCAAGGCCCATTTTTCACCACAGACTTGACGGAAATACTGTACCGTTTGACTTTTTATCATGAGCTGTGGTGTTTTAGTCTCTGTTTAGCGTTGTTAAAATGTAGCCCTGGGAGAAAAGCATGTATGTCAAAGTGATGTGATGTGGGCAGCTAAAGTAGGTTTGATTGAGCAATTGTGGCATATTACCTAATGGAAAACGTAAAGACAGGTTATTAACTCATTTGTGGTTTAGGGCAGTAACATATCGCAATCAAATGCAAGTCGTAATTTGAGTTGGCGCAAATGATCAAATCGCAAAGGCTGCAATTATTTCGGTAATAATAAAAGTTTGTTTAGTTTATACTTCCACAAACATGAAACGCTGGACACTCTTTTTGAAATCAAGACGTTTCGGCCGCCATCCAGAACCCGTTTTCAATTTGATGGTACTGATCTGAGAGACTGGGCATTATAAAACACTGAGCCCAAAGGGACCAGGATGTCGTCATCAAAAACATGCCTGTTTTATTTAGTTTCATTCACACAAGTTACACACACAAGTCCTGCATATTTAGGCTGAGTTCTTCTCTGAAACAGGAGACACTCCATTCCACCTTGTGATGTCATGTGGTAATACAGGAAGTGCTCCACTGTGTTTTTAAACTCCATACACCTTCACTAAAATCATTTGGATGATTTCAGCTCTGGAGTTGCCAATCTCTACTGAAAGAAAGATCAGGACATCACAAGGTGAAACAGAACATTTTAAGCTTTGGAGATGTAGACAGGTTAATTATGCAGGATTATTGTGAATGAGGCTATGTTCACATGACAATGCTCCTGTTTTGTTTTGTTTTTTTTGCCGGTTGAAAAAAAATCACATCCACACACGTGTCAGATCAATAAATATTCACGTCCAGACGACAACGGAGCACTGAGTGAAAACGATGTAACACATATGCCACACCAATATGTGATGCTGTAAACAATGATGATAATAATTTAATAATGCATATCTCATCAACGTTTTTGTTAAACTTTAAGGTAATTTAGCCTATTTTAGATGTATCCCAGAAATATAGCCGCTTTGTTTTGCAAAAATTAAACATAAGTTTTTGTTTTTAGCCATAAGATTTGGATGTGAATTATTAAAATAACTTGGTCTCCAAATCTAACAGTTTAATAACAATAGTGTAATCTTTCTTATTGATCCATGTGCGTAATCTGTGTGGTACGTGTTTTTAGTATTAGTGTTAGCAGCGTATCTCAGTTGCTGGGCGGCGGGAGCGGCTCTGTAGGCTACACCTGTGCAACGGCCTTGCAATCCGCAGAAGCCAGTTCAAGGGCTGCGACAGGGTCGCGACGTCATCGTTTTCCAAAAGCTGTGGTTTGCTTGTCCACACGACATCACAACACCAGTGTTTTCAGATTTCTCCACTCTGGCACTCAAACTCAAAAAACACTGTTTCGCCCACCCAAAACGCCAGCTCCATGTGGACGAAAGGCCAAAACGAATACAAACTTCATCGTTTTGACCAAAAAACTTTGTTGTGTGTACAGACCCTGAAATAAAACACAACTCTGTGCGTGATTTTATGAAGTAACAACATTATAACATGCCTTAAAGCTCACAAGAATCCATTTTGTGTAATATGCAGTATGACCTTTAAACATACACACCACAATACTTTTCCAATGTCAGCAGCTCTAGTGTAAAGCTATAGTGGGTTTAGAAAACTCATGATATTTCTGTTCTGACCACAATGCTATAAATGTATTTACCTATGTATCCTATTTAAGTAACCATTATATTTAAATTAACCTTTCAGAGATGCCTGAAGAAGCTTGGAGGGACCATCTGACCTGGCTTAGTGGCTCATTACGAAGGCTGTCAGAAGAGGAGGAGGAGGAGGAGGACAGAGATGGGACTAACAGGTCGGAAAAAGTGTGATTTTATGTTCTCTGCATTAGCCAATCTGAGGTAGACTTCTCCAATTTCTCCCTCTCCTGGTACTCTGCTCTGGCGCCTCATTACAGACTATTAGCCGGGGCGGGCAGAGCAGTGCAGAAGGCAATTGTTAACCAGTCTGGTGAGAGTGAAAGGAAAGAGCAGGCACACAAAGGAGAAAATGGCTCCAAAATTAGCATAAGGGTTAACACAAGATTTCAGCAACAGTTAATAGGCCCAGAGGGTAACTCGTACTATTCATCATGTCATATTTTAAAGCTTTGAGCCTTTGTCTGTTAAAGGTATTATGTTACATGTAATAGTTGGGTAATTTAAAACTACAAAAGCATTTTAGTTTCATCATATATTACTGACAGTGATCAAATCTGCTTTGCAATCTCTTTGTTAGCTACTTTTATGGAGTTTTTATTATTGTTTGAATTAGGGATGGGCATGATTAGTCGACGATTGGATAATTGATCATTATGAATTTCGTCGACTATGTTCATTTCTAATCGACAAACCGAATGTAGGTTGCTGTGCGTAGATACGAAGCTGCGTCTGAAGCGCAAACACTGGAGTTGCGGCCTCAGTCCCACGTTTGGGCTCTGGCACCTCCTTGGAGATCACTGTACCACTCAAGTGTGTTTACATGCACATCTGTATCCCAGTTTCATCATGGTGCATGTTTACGCAGTATCCTGGTTACTGCAACTTAAAGAGCACACGTACGATCTTTGAAGACATCGCGACACACACACAGAACAGACTCACCTTCATCATCAACATCCCTCTGTCACAGTCATATTCCACTGAGTTGTGTCCTTTAGTCCGACAGAAGCTGAACAGCATCAGCGCATAAGAGTTTTCTTTTTCTCTCTCGACTTAGTTTATGCATATTAGCCATGCGGTTTTAAGTTTCATTTCTGTAAGACGTGCGCAAAGCTGCATTAAACACATTATAATCTGAAACAGGCTGATGTGGCTCTATAGTGGTTTATATGTTGTAAAGTTGAGTTTATTTATGCAATTAGTAATAGTAATAATAATGATGATACTTATTATAATTAATTCTCCCGACGATCGATTAATAAAATTTCATCAAATGCCCATCGCTAGTATAAATATTGTTGAATAAATTAATACAGGTATAAGAGCGTCTCAAAGAAATATAGTCTTAGTCTTTTTAGTAAATCTGTTATGCAAAATTTTTTTTTTTTTTCCCAGAGCTTTTAGTCATGTTTTAGTTGTTTCCCTTCTCATTTACCCTCTCGAAGTTGTATTCAGAGTGATTCATGCATGTTTGAGTAATCTTATACTTAAGATGTCATTGCTTCCATCAACCCCTGTTTTAACGCCCACTGCTCTGTACTTACTTTGTGCTTCAATTACATCCTTTTAAACGGTGATAGTCGTAGGATTTGGAAGCGCCGCAAAGCAATTTTTGTACAATCAACTTCTCTTTAGCTTGAACCGCAGCATTCCATTGGACGAGCCGACAGCTGCACGACTCTTTGTTGTGATGGCGTTTACGGTGACATCTGCTCCCACTGGGCACTGCTCTTTTCTAACTCACAACTCAGCAGTCTTGTTTCTTTTATTAAGTCTTTTTTGGTCATTATTAAAATATCCAAATAACATAATAACATAATGAGCCACAGTTTAGATTATAACTTTATAGCAGACACAAGCACAATAGGTCTTCTTTAACAATATTGTGTCACAGTTTGATGGATTCCAGGCAAAGCACTATAGAGATTACATAACAGAGACAAGCTTTTGGCAGAGCCTCCGACAGAAATGTTACATAGTGGACCTTTAACCACTGTTCATAAAACAAGAAGATTGGTCTGATATTAACATAAAACAGAGCTAAATTGCTTTAGTGTCTGTGTGTGGATTGGATAAAACGTAGCAGAGGAGAGCAGAGATGTCGACTCTAGCCTCCAGCTGAGGTTTAACAGGGCCCATTATCCCCAGTGCTGCTCTGCTCCACGGCTCCATGAAAATCCCCCCAAACGCCGAGAGCCAGCGGTGGGAAGATCTGTGAGCCTGGTGCCCCCGAGTGAAGAGGCAGCTGCTGGGGCCCTGCTGAGATCTGCTGCTGCTGCTGCTGCTGATGATGATCATCGCATTTAGAGCCACAGGACTAATGACAGAGTCAGGCAAATCTGAGAGAGATCGGGTCCTCCACTTGCATTAAGGTCTAGACTCACACGGCCGCTGTGGGAGAAGAGCCAGAGCTGGCTGGTTACCCCAGAGCCACTGAAGGATCAGTCCAAGAACTTAAATATACACTTAAATATTTTTGTATTGTTTGTATTAGACAAAAAAAAGTTTAATTGAGTAATTCTTGTACCTGTTTCTTACTATGTTCACATATTCTACCCCCCAGAGGGCTCCCCCTGCTGTTTGAAGCCTGGTTCCTGCTGGTCAGCAGCTCTCACTGGGTGGACGTGGCTCTGCAGCTCCTGGTCTCCTCTCAGGACTCAGACTGTGAACATCTACTGTGGCTGCTCACCTTCTACCACCACCCCACCAACAGGGGGCACCACAGGGACCAACAGCTGGTGAGTCTGGTCTTTTTAAAGGTGTACCATGCATCTTTTCTGGAATATTCCGTGACATTAAAGAAATCCATCTAACATTTATTCATTATATGTATTGCTATTGCTCAAAAACACAAGAATTCTGTGAATAGTTGCAACTCTCCACAGATCTGAATGGTAATGTATAGGGGTGTGCAAAAATATTGGAATATCGATATATCGTATCGTTTAATGTGATGATACAGTATCGATATCGTGGGCTACTGTATCGATATTTCACCAAGAGTATTTTTAGGTTTATTTTACTAAATTATTTTGTTACAGCTACATTTTTGTTGCTTGTAGAGTGAAAGGAAGCTCATTTATGCGACACATTTGACATTTTTACTGTTTTGATGATTAAAATGTTTGTGTTTCATATGAACTTTGCACAAGAAGTGATTTAACAAAGACTTTTAGTATCAGAGCCACAATTTAGCCTTTATTTTTTATTGAACCATATCGAATCGATTTGAAATATATCATAGGGAATCGAAAGTGCTCTGTATCGAGATATGTATCGTATCGTGTCCTGTGTATCGAGGTATGTATCGTATCGGCAACTTCTTAATGATACCCAGCCCTAGTAATGTAGCATAGTGGTATAACCTTCTTTTCCCCGTCATGATAGATTTACTCTGTACTGTGGAACATTCTAGACCAGGAGTGTCCAAACTTTTTTCATCAAGGGCCACAAATCTAAACAGACGAAGCAGAGGACTAATCGAGGGCCGTAGACTGGTGCTCAGTACAGTGAATAACAGAAATATGCACATGTTTAACACGTTTGAATGACCCTTAAATCCTAAAGATCCTTAAATCAACACACTAAATATTAAATATTGGCTTTATCAAGGTAGATTTTTAAAAAACTTGCAGTAAAAAATAAATTTTTAATTGATGCAAGGTAATTTGGGCCAATTCACCTGGAAGCCTGAGGGCCAAGAAAAATTTGTCTGAGGGCCGCATTTGGCCCATGGGCCATAGTTTGGACATGCCTGTTCTAGACAAAGCTTGTCTTTATTTCCATGGAGACAAGCAGCAGGTGGACCCTTCACTAAAAATGTTACGTAGTGCACCTTTAACCTTTGCTCCTCCCTGGTTCATTTAGACCTATTAAGCAGCCTATTTTATTGTCATATTTTGAATTTAAGAAGACATAAATATAGTTTCTTTTAAAATGTAGTATTAAGTTATAACATGCATAGATAATTTCTTTTCGTATATGTTCAGTGTAAATCACAGTATTGAAGTATCTGAAATGGCTTAATAAAAGAAACGGGTCCTGCTCAAAACTGCAGAACTGGGTTTTGTTTTAGCACATTTAAATTGAACTAAACTCATACAAGAATCCCAAGCAGCTGTTAGCTCTAGGCTAAAGCTTGTAGCAGTTTTTAAGTAAAATCGCACTGCAGACAACACTATAAACCACTGCAGCTGCTGAATTCAAATCAAATTGTTGTATTGCCCAAAATCACAGCGGCAGTCTTCTCTCAGGACATTGTTTATTCAACCAGCAGAAAGTTAGAAAGTCAAACAGTTTTCTCATTGAGCATGTTTTCGTCTTGTATCCTGAAGCGTAAATTATGAAAATGTGCCGTGACAAACTTGTGCGTTGTAACAGTTCAGATGATAATAGGCGAGAACTCGGAGACAGCAGCAGTCTCCCACGGCGACGAGAGGGAGACACAGAGTCCAAAACTCAGACGGCCTGTCCAGACACTTAGTGAACAATCAATACGACACGGGCCCTTTCACCTCCCCCTCCTCTCCTCCTCCTCCTCCTCTTCTCTTTGTCTCTCTCTCGCACGTTCTCTCTTTCCTTCTCGCTCTTTCTTTCTCACACACACTCTCTCTCCCTTTCTTTCTCTCTTGCACTTTCCCTCTCTCTCCTCCTCTCTCTCTAACCCTCTGCTCTCCTCCTTTCTCTTTCTCTCTCTCTCACGCACTTTCACTCTTTCTGTCTCCTCTCTCTCCTTCTCTCTCTCTCTGTCTGCTCTCTCTCCTTCTTTCTTTCTCTCTTGCACTTTCCCTCTCTCTCCTTCTCTCTCTCTGCCTCTCCTTGTCTCCTCCTCTCTCTCTGCCCCTCCGCCCTCCTCCTTTCTCTTTCTCTCTCTCTTCCACTTTCTCTCTTTCTTTCTCGCTCTTTCTTTATCTCACACTCTTCTCTCTCTCCCTCCTTCTTTCTTTCTTTCTCTCTCGCACGGTCCCTCTCTCCCTTCCCTCACTCTCCTCTCTTTCTCTGCTCTCTCTCCCTCTCCTTGACTCCTCTCTCTCCCACCCTTCTCCTTTCTCTCTCTCTTACACTTTCTCTCTATCTCTCTCTCTATTTTCCACCCTTCCCCTCTCCTGTCTCACTCTCCCTCTGGCTTCCACCTCTCTCCTCCTCCTCCGCCTTTCCTCTCTATTCCCCATCTCTCTCTTCTCTCCTCTGCCTCCTCTCTCCCTCTCTCCCCTCCTTCTCTTTCTTTTTCTCTCTGTCTGTTGCACTTTCTTTTTCTCTCGCTTCCTCTCTGTCTATCTCTCATTCCATCTTCCTCCTCTCCTGTCTCTCACTCTCGCACTCTCTTCTTTCTCTCTCTTCCTCCTCCACCTTTCCTCTCTATTGCCCCTCTCCTCCTCTCTCTCCATCTTCTCTGCCCCCTCTCTTTGTCTCTTTCTCTCTCTCTCTGTCTCTCACTCTTTCTCTCGCTCCTTCTCAATCTCTCTCTCTATCTTCCATCCTCCTCCTCTACTGACTCTCACTCTCCCGCTTTCTTCCTTCTCTCTCCTCCTCCGCCTTTTCTCTCTATTCCCCATCTCCTCCTCTCTCTCTTCCTTCTCTGTCGCCTCCTCCTCTTTTTTTCTTTCTCTCTCGCTCTCCCTTGCACTTTCTCTCTTTCTCTCTCCTCTTCCGCCTTTCCTCTCTATTCCCCATCTCATCTCTCTTCCTTTTCTGTCTTCCTCCTCCCTCCACCCCTCTCTCTTTCTCTCGCTCCCTCTCTCTTCCTTCTCTCTCCTCCTCTTCCTTTCCTCTCTATTCCCCACCTCCTCCTCTCTCTCTTCCTTCTGTCTTTCTCCTTCCCCCTCCTCTTTTTCTCTCTCTCTCACACTTTCTCTCAATCTTACACCCTCCTCTTCTCCTGTCTCACTCTCCCGCTCTCTTCCTTCTCTCTCCTCCTCCTCCGCCTTTTCTCTCTATTCCCCATCACCTCCTCTCTCTTCCTTCTCTGTCTTCCTCCTCCCTCCACCCCTCTCTCCCTCTATCTTTCTCCCTCTCCCTCTCTGTCTATCCTTTCACTCACTCTCCCTCTCTCTTCCTTCTCTCTCCTCCTCTGCCTTTCCTCTCTATTCCCACCTCCTCCTCTCTCTCTTCCTTCTGTCTTTCTTCTCCCTCTCCTCCCCCCTCATCTCTTTCTCTCTCTCTCTCCATCTCTCTCTCTATCTTCCACCCTCCTCTCTGGACTCTGACTCTCCTGCTCTCTTCCTTCTCTCTCCTCCTTCTCCTCCTCCGTCTTTTCTCTCTATTCCCCATCACCTCCCTCCTTCTCTCTTCCTTCTCTGTCTTCCTCCTCCCTCCACCCCTCTCTCTCTATTCTGTCTCTCAGTCTCCCTCTCTCTTCCTTCTCTCTCCTCCTCTGCCTTTCCTCTCTATTCCCACCTCCTCCTCTCTCTCTTCCTTCTGTCTTTCTTCTCCCTCTCCTCCCCCCTCCTCTCGTTCTCTCTCTCACACTTATCTTCGACCCTCCTCCTCTTCTGTCTCACTCTCCTGCTCTTTTCCTTCTCTCTCCTCCCCCTCCTCTCCTTCTCCGGTGTCTCTTTCCCGCCGTCTGTGCTCACAAAACACTCATCCATTATTTAGTGTTTAATAGGTTACACTGGGTTTGTCTCCGGGCTCTGACTCACCTGCTAAAAGTGGATCAGGCCTAAACACATTCCCATGTTCTGTAGATCAGACTCAACGTTTTCTCACAGATCGCTCACCAAACTTACATCAGCGCTAATCTCATCAAGCCAGCAATTAGTACTGAACTGTTTCGGATCTAAATACTTCTTTTTTTTTGTTGTTTTAATAGGTGGGTTTCACGTGACGTCACAGGGCTACGTTTGTCAGCACGCAAAATCAGATGGAGGGCAGGAAGTGAACCGACTGGAGGAAAATGCCGATGCGTTGTGTAGTTTACGGTAGTTTACGGCTGTGCCAATTGTTCTAACCGAGAGAAAGAAAAGCGATTTTTTTTTTTTAGAGTACTGAATATAGTCGTCCACAAAGGTCAGAAATGTGAAAAGCTGACAGAACAACGCCGTAAAAAGTGTGTTACAAACCTGTTCGCGGTCGGGAGGAGCAGAATTCACTAATGCTCGTGTCTGCAGTGACCACTTCGTCAAAGGTTTGTTACAAAGCTAAATAGTTTTTTGTGGTTTACCTAAACATAAACGAATCATTAACGACTAACGGCTAACGACGTTTGTTGACATTATATAGTTCAGATAGAGGTTAGTGCCGATACACTGCAGTTTTTCCCATAACAGTCTATACATATAAAATAAGAGAAACACTTACCCCGGCGAAGACCAAACAATAATCATCATTTAGGCGTTTTGCACCAAGGTTGAGGACCCATCCACTGACAAAAAAAGTTATATGCCTCCAAACATTTGTACGTCTTCATCTGTTGTCTGGTGTAGAACGATGTCTGAAGAGCTAAATAGTTCGTGATCTCCTCTGCCTCGATTGTCAGCAAATCTTTTACTTCGGTTGAAAATTCTCTCATTTTCAATAAGATGGGGTCACGCCCAATATATTTGTCGACTAACTGCTCGTACTTTTGCCTTGCTACTGGCTCTAAATCCTTACAATAAGAACTCTTCTCCATATCTGTGTTCTCCAGAGCCGTGTTTGTCGTGTTTGTCTTCACTTCCTGCCCTCCACCTGAAATTTGCGCATCATCGTGATCACGTGACTGAAACCCTCCTATTGTGATATTAGAGACAGTACAAACAGTAAAAGACATTAGACATTTTGAAGGGATGACGAGACGAGATGTTCTTGTTATAACGGACGGCAAGTGTGTGAGAGGAAACAAATCATTATTCTTGTAACTAATGGTCTGTTTCTTCTCCTTCCTCTCCTCTCCTTTCATTACCCCTTTGTTCCTTTGTTAATTATTATTTATTTATTTATTCTTTTCCTGAAAATGACTCACAAATGACCACAGCGCAAATAGAGATGCACTGATCCAGCTTTTTCACTCAACCGATACCAGTGGAGGGAAAATAAAATAAGACAAAACTGATCCACATGTGTTATGTAGCTGTTATTTATCTCTCAAGCAGCTTCAGAACAGTTTTGTATAAATAAAACTTCAAACATTATGAGGCTTTCTGGGATGACTATGATCAGTAAATAATAGGGATTAGGGTTGTGCAAAAATACCAATGTATCGTATCGTTTAATGTGATGCTACAGAATCGATATCATAAGATGCTGTATCAATATATCGCCAAGAGCATTTTTTGGTATGTTTTACAAAATTATTTTGTTACAGCGCTGCAGTTTTGTTGCTTGTTCAGAGGAAAGAAACTCGTTTGTGCGACACATTTGACATTTTCACTGTTTTGATGATTAAAATGGGTGTGTTTCATATTCACTTTGCACAAGACGTGGTTTAACAAAGACTTTTAGTATCACAGCCATGATTTAGCCTTTATTTTTTATTGAACTGTATCGTATTGATTTGAAATATATTGTAACGTATCAAAAGTGCACTGTATCGCAATATGTACTGTATCGTGGCCTATGTATCGAGGTATGTATCGTATTGGCAACTTCTTAATGATACCCAGCCCTAGTAGGGATGTAACGACATCGACATCTCTGGATACAATATTATAACGATGTGCATCTCACAGTACAATATTTATTGCAGTATTTTGGAGAGGCTAATTTAACTGTATATAGGAAACCTTTTTGCTTTTAAAATACCTTGACAAGGTTTTGATGTGAATTATTACTGTCATAATTCAAGTAAAAAACATATTTGTTCATGTTGTTTGCTCTGAAATGAATCATGGGATATGTAGTTCTCTGTTTATAAGCTGTTGCTACTATAAAAGCATGCATTTAAGCAAAGGAACTTGTGATTTGATATATTTTGACAGCCCGCAATATTATTGTGAGACTTTTGACGATTATTATTATTGTGACATCCCTAGAAAATAGTCTTATTATGTCAAGTTACATAAACCAGAATCTTGACTGAACCGATATCTGTTCTATCAATTTTTCACTATCTGCTCTAATATTCGATACCAGTTTCGGATCGGTGCATCCCTAAATGCAGACATAGATGCTTCATAGACAGCTGTATTCATGTGAATGTGTTCTTAAGATGGTGTTCACAGGGTAGTTTATTACCTAAATATTCGCTCGTTTGAAATGTGCTTCTTTGATCTTCACCCACCAGGTTAAATTATTCAACCTCCAGCTGTATTATTCAGGCTAGTTATGCAACGTTGTGTAACAGTTGCAAGATGATCGCAAAAGAAAATTAGTTTCTGCCAACTGGGCAAGTTTTTAAGAGTGGATTTTTAAGTTTCACTCATCCACGAGTGGGGCTGGGTATCATTAAGTAGTTGCCAATACGATACATACCTCGATACATAGGCCATGATACGATAGATATCTCGATAGAGTGCACTTTCGATTCAATATATTTTAAATAAATTCAATACGTTTCAATAAAAAATAAAGGCTAAATCATGGCTGTGATACTAAAAGTCTTTGTTAAACCAACTTCTTGTAGAAAGTGAATATGAAACACACTCATTTTAATCCTCAAAACATGAATGAGTTTCGTTCCACTAAATAAACAACAAAACTGTAGCGCCGTAACAAAATTATTTAGTAAAATATACCAAAACGTGTTCTTGGTGATATACTGATACAGTAGCCAACGATATCAGTTCTGTATCATCAGATTAAACGATACGATTAGGGCTGGGTATCATTAAGAAGTTGCCGATACGATACATACTGTACCTCGATACATAGGCCACAATACGATACATATCTCGATAGAGTGCACTTTCGATTCAGTGCGATATATTTCAAATCAATTCGATATGGCTCAATAAAAAATAAAGGCTAAATTATGGCTGTGATACTAAAAGTTTTTGTTAAACCACTTCTTGTGCAAAGTTCTTATGAAACACAAACATTTTAATCCTCAAAACAGTGAAAATGTCTAATATGTCACATAAATGAGTTTCCTTCCACTAAATAAGCAACAAAACTGTAGCTTTAACCAAACTATTTAGTAAAATGTACCAAAAAATACTCTAGGCGATATATCGATACAGCAGTCCCATGATATCAATACTGTATCATCACAATAAACGATACAATATATCGATATATTTATATTTTTGCACACCTCTATCCAGATGATTCTCCAAGTTACTGACTTCTATCTGTCTGAAGGGAGGAGCTAACTACACTGAAACTAACACACCCTAGTTGTTTACAATATGAGTGAGTATCAGTTAAGTCCATTGAACTACCCTAAGGTGTGACCCGTCCGCTGAGTCATATTTTACATAATCGCTCCTGCCTCTAGTGGGTGATCTAACTCTTATTAGCGTACTCTGATCATCCCTACTGTTTTCTTTTACACTTTTATAAACATCGCTGAAGTAAATGACTGTTTGTGTCTGTGCAGGTTGTTGTGAAAGAAGCGTGGGGACATATTTGTGGTCTCTTCACGGCTATGGGTGCCCCTCCTCTGGGCGGTGGGTCCAGTTTATTGGCAGATCTTCTGTCACCGGAGCCTCAGCAGCCTTCACCAGCTCCTGTATTGATCCTCCAGCTCCTGCTCAGCTCTGCCATGTTCTCTCCTCTGCCTCTGAGTGGATCAACACAGATTTTACTTGCGGTAAGTAAACAAAGCTCCTAAACCGTTAGTCTTTGCTTTAAAGTGCCTTTGCCTGATTTTTTTCCCATGTGTTTGAGCAAAATTAGATACTTTTTGACAAGCCTAGGGGCAAGACTTAATACTAACTGATACTAAAGTTAGTATCGAAACCAGATATGCAATTGAACAAGTATCAGTACTAAAAATTCATTCATTCACAGGACAAAAATGAACCTTTCCTGAATAGTTTTAGAATGATCCTGAGCTGCATCCAAAGAGGAAATGAGCATGGGTGTACTTCCGGTTCCATTGACTCCAGCTCCACTTCACATTATATTGGAAAAACGTCACCCCTCTCCCCCTCCATAACTGTTGCTGTCAGGCTCCTCATTTTGGTCTTAAAATGTTCATATTAACCCACTCTACATGATCCCAGTGTTATTATTTCGCAATTTTATCTGTAAATCTACTCCTATTCCTAACAGTACACAAATTCACAGTTCAGTACGTACATCTGTTTTGAGGTCACGGTTCGGTTCATTTTGGGTACAGTATGGAAACAAAATGTAAAACCATTTGCTTCTTATGTTTTTGTCCATCCTACAAATGGGGAAATAAAATAAATGCAATGTGCTGCTTGGTAATACTAATAAGTTAAATAAAATCTTCTCAAATAAGCAACAAATGTATGAAATATTATTAAAAAAAAATTCCTTGTGAACAGTAAACAAAACTTTTCAAAAAGTAAAGCACAGCACTAACAGTTCCAGCTTTAAGTTTTACTCTTCATATTTTTGGCCAGAAAAACTTGTCCACAGTGTCTGCAGTAAGTGTAGATCTGCTGCAATTACAGTGTTCCCAGTGGTTGAAAATACACTTCGCTAGGGACAGAGGTCGCAGAAAAGCGGAGCAAAAATGAGGACGAGGGCACGACGACTGTAGTTTTGCGAGGATTCACGTGGTTAGGAGGGATGTAGTCAAGGCGGGGGGCAATTGTTGTCTAACTATAAAGCGCTGCGGGAAACACTGTCACCCCAATCGCAGATGAGTTCCTTTGTTATAATGTATATGTAATTTTAAAGAGCCGAGCTTTTCGTGTAGCTGCACATGTAGTGGCAGAATATAAACACACACAAATCGCATGAACTCACTCATACACAGCCCTGCATCGAACCGAACGTTCTGTGCTGAAACGGTTCAGCACAAATAACATGTACCAATATTATGTAGGTAAATATGTTGCAAAATGAGAGAGCGTGTAAACTTGATTTGAGAACTTGTACAATATAATGTGAGAATGTGTAGAACAAAACTTTGAACTTGTAATTACCTACTTTCATATATGTGTGTTGAATTTGCAGTCACGGTGGAAAAAAACACACGAGTGCTTGAAAAAAATGTGTGCACTTGTGGACTGAAATTTTCACTTGTGGAAAATATTTACACACACGGGAGAAAAATATGAATAAATGTGCAGATTGTTATTTGCATGAACAGAGTGACATCTGCATCCATTATGACAGATACAACCACAATTTAGCGACTGCAACTTCTCAAATGGGCCCGGTCAAGCAGAAGTAAACAGCAAGGCCAAAAATTCAAGTTAATGCATCTGATATAAAAATGTATTCAACAGATACATATGTACTCTAGTTTATGAAACTGTTTATCTTTTTTCTGTACCATTTTTGGTTCTAAGGTTACATATGTTTTAAACAGACCATGTATGAAACATGGAAAAAAAATTATTTCCCAAATTTCAAAGATCTGCAAATCATGTAAATAAATGGATGTATTTCATCATAGATCATCAGTCTTTGAACTGTTGATGAAGGTACATGATTTTTCAAAAAAAATTTATTTAAAATGATAAAAATTTGCTTGGAAGGACTGACATATTTTATAGAAATAGTTACCTTTCATTTTGAAGTAATATTAAAGTATTAGGAAGAAAAAAGCTGACAAATTATGCAAAATCATGCACCTTCTACTTGCTTGCACAGTTTTCCCTCCCTTACCATGACCTTTCTTAATAAAAAATCTCATTACTCAAAAAGTAAGAGATTTTTCAACCTAATCTTGTACCATATGGTAGAAAACTATATGAAACAAATATTCAAACCAGTTTGTTAAGGATATGTAAGTGAGAACCGCTAGTTATCACTGTTTGTATTTATTGCCCAAAAAGTGCTGCATATTTCATTCCCTCTGTTACTGACATGAGTTTTTTATTTTTTGTCAACAACTTGAAAGAATATCACAGGTTTAACTTTACCCTGTTGGAGTGTTAACTCTTTCCTACATTCTAATACCTTACTTATTTCAATAGTCCCTCTAGTTTCTGAATAAGAGCTATTTGAATGTAAAAAATCTGCCCGTTTCCCTCCGTTACCGCTTGACCGGACCCAAATGTGTCCCAGCAGGTTCAAATCTGCGCGCCTTGACTTTTGCAACACATTTTGCGACGTGCATGTGGCAAAACTGATTTGCACTTGTAGAGAGGTGGGGGGAGGAGGGGGGGAGGGGAAGGAGGAGGGGTTGACCAATCAGAAAGGGGGAAGACGAAGAATCTGTGTATCATTCGTTTTTTCAAAATAAAACCAAAAATAACAAAATGAAAAAACAACTATTTTCTTAATTATTTGTCTCCAAAACCAAAATGAAAAAAAAAAAAAAAAAAAACGAATAACGGCCGAAATTCCCCGTTTCCGTGACTTAAACTGTGATGCCGTACTTTTGCACCGCAACATATTTACCTTCATACAATACACCCCTAACTCCTAAAATGGAACTCGACTCCAAATTCGCTCCTATAACTGCCGTCCTTGGTGAGCTTCATTTGACTGGAGCCACTCTTTTAATCCACTTCTTTATACCGTCAATGATCTGAACAAGTATATAACTACATGGATCAGTACACGCCCATGGAGCCCTGTGGAACCTACCTGGACCACTGAGGGATTACACAGATGTAAGAAAATACAATGATATAAAGCTGAAAACCACATTCTATTGTCTAAAGAAAGATTTTAATCATCACCTTGGTATTAAAATAAGTATTGCATATAAAGTACATAATTAAAGTTTGAAATTTCAGTATCGTGACAACAACACTAGCATGTAAACACAGTGAGCTGTTTGTGCGTGCAGGTGGTGGAGCGGTCTGGCGTCACACTCGAAGCTGCGTGTGTTCTCGGCTCTCTGGAGATCAGACTCAGCGGAGGAGGCCGCACTCACACTCTGCTGCCCAGGATCAAGGCTCTGCAACAGGCACTGGCACCTAACACCTAGACACATGCAACCTCCATAAACCCCGTGTACTTTTGCACCAGATGCCCTCACTGCTATTACCATCTACGTGCTGTTAATGTATGTGTGGTGATTATAGGAGGCGGTGTGGGTGGATGTGCCAAGCGTAAAGGTCCTATATTATGCAAAATTGACTCTTGTGAGCTTTAAGACGTGTGATAATGTTGTTGCCTCATCAAAAGTACATCTAGAGTTGTGTTTCAGTTCATTTACGCATGTTTGAGTAACCTGGAAGCTGTAGTTTTCAAGTTAACAGCTACATTTTACCTTTTGTTTAGTAGAGATTGTCAGAAATTATCCAAATGATTCTAGTGAAGATGTATGGAGTTTAAAAACACAGTGGAGCAGGATTTGTGCGTTAAACATGTGTGAATAAAACAAAACACAACTCCAGGTATGTTTTTCGATGATGAAACAATATTATAACACATAAGAAGCGTAATCTAGACCATTTAAAGACTCAACAACATTGTGCTTGGAAATTTAAATGAAGATGCTGTGGTTGATGGGTGAAAGCTTAAAGGGACAGTCTGGAATTTTGGACACAGGACCTCATTTCCTAGTGAGCCAGAGTGCTGGAGACGTGTGGAGACACTTTTTAAAATATTTCATCCAGTCCTTGTATTTGCAGAGGTCGCTGGTGCTAGGCTAGTGCATGTCAATGGCCATAGTTAGCCTGCCACTAAAAACAGTCTTACCCACTCCACAAAACACCTGAACAAAAACTTTTATTATGCAAGACTGTCGATGTGAATGTCTGTGTTGATAGAATAACGTTTGAAATAAAACTAACCTGGCATCACGTGAATCGTCGCATGTTTGAGGGACTATTTTCTCATATATCAGTCCGCTGCTGTCAGGTTTTCTATCAGGAAGTACAACTCTCTGCTAGCCTGATTCATCAGCTGGTTTCAGTTCATGGAAACCATCTGACCTCACAGCATTAGGATTCGTTCACTTAACAGTAGCCAGGTACTTTTTTATTAAACCAATCGCTGCTATTTGGGCCGAGACGTTTGTAATGCGCCAGAACACTCAGTGGTGTCTAAGTAATTGCCAGCTTCTGATTCCTGACGTAGTCGCTGGAGAGAAATGAAATTGAGCAGAAGCACTAGGTGGCGCCAGACTGGCTACCTCCCTGCTGCTGCTCAGACATAAATCCTTCAAATGCAAGGTTGGTTTTAATTCTAAAATTATTCTATCAACACAGACTTTCATATCGATAGTCTGGCGTTATAATTGCTTTGCCCCGGGTGTTTTGTGGAGTGGGTAAGACTGTTTTTAGTGGCAAGATAAATAACTATGACCATTGACATGCACTAGTCTAGCACCAGCGACCTCTGCAAATACAAGGACTGGATGGAATATTTAAAAAGTGTCTCCACACGTCTCCAATACAACTAGGAAATGAGGCCCTGTGTCCAAAATTCCGGACTTTCCCTTTAACCCACTGTGGCACCTTTGTCCCTAATACTAAGCTATAAATAAGAACACGCCCTGTGCTGCGTCTGCCAAATATTGTCCTGGTTTTGAATGGACAGTCACCTGCTTCAAGTTCAATTCTTCTATGCACCAAAAGACATTAAAGGGGCAGCACTCAGTTTTTACAATTTTCAGACCATGAGACATTTAGAAGCAGTCCATATTCATTCCATTTCTTGCTTCATAATTCTTTATGAGGATGTTAAGAATGCTTCATCTCTTTCAGGGTGCAAATTAAGAGTTTTATTGTTATGGAAAAACAACAGCCAGTCTGCTAACGCTGCACCAACGCTACTTCTGTTTTAACAGTGATAAAAAGGCTATAAACAAACAGCTTTTCATGTGTTTATGTTCGAGTTTAAAGGTGTACTATGTAACTTTTCTAGTGGAGGGACTGCCACCTGTTTTTGTCTCCATGGAGATTGTGTTGCTTTTGCTTTTGTAGCAACTAAATGCACCATATGCAGGCGGATTTCCTCCCGAAAATGCTCGTCTAAACGCGGAATAAAAAGTGAAGACGCAACGTCACGTTTGTGTGTTGGTTGGTCATTATTAGAATTAGATCTGGTGTTTTTCGCTCGCACAATGGGTGTGACCTTGGTCTTAATTTTCATTTACTGTATTTTCCGGGCTATTAGGCGCTCTGGATTATAAGGCGCACAGTCATTAAATGGTCTATTTACGAACTTTTTTCACAAATAAACCGCACCGGACTTTAAACAAAACACAACAGTTGGATGGGTCAGTGGGACTTTGTTTGGCGCTTTTACGGTGACTCTGGGCTTTGTTCAGTTGTGGCGTGTAGGGAGGGTGCTGTCTGGGACCGCTGGATTGTCGGCGTGTTCGCAGTGACTCAGTTGTTCAGTTGTGTCTAGAAGTGGCACATTGCACTCGCTTTTTCGGTTCGTTCCTTCGTTCCGTTCCTCGTCGGCGTGGAGTGATGAGTGTGTCTGCGGGTGTTTTTCGCTGCGCTGTCGCTGTCTGCTCTGTGTGTGTTTGCGTGTTCTGCGGGTGGTGCGACTTTATAGTTTACTGAAGTCGTGCTGGGACACCCGAGTGGATTCGTGTATGGGGTGCTCTGGATTGCGGGGCGCGCAGTCGTTTTTTTGATGGGGTTGGAGGCTTAAGAGCGCGCCCTATAGCCTGGTGGTCTTAAAAAGGTCTTAAAAAAAGTCAAACCTGGGGAGATCCTGCTAGTGAAGGTGTATGGAGTTTAAAAACGCAGTGGAGAACTTCCTGTATTACCACATGACGTCACAAGGTGGAACAGAGTGTTTTCAGTAAAAGCAGAACACAGCCTACATATGCGGGATTTGTGAGTTAAACATGTGTGAATGAAACAAAACACAACTCCAACTCTGTTTTTGACGTTATTGTGTAATAACCTCTCCACGGAGACGAGGAAATAACAACCCCCCTCCCACCAAGAAAGGTTACACAGTGCACCTTTAATCCTGTAAAATATACACTCCGAGTAATAATATGCTATGACGTGCGTGGGTTTTGGCGTTTGTGATATTATGTTTCGTCTTATTTCACTTTCCCAAGGCTTTTCCATATCATCCGATACGAACAACCTTCCGCGGAGGATCAGAGCGACCGCGGCGCTCATCCACACACTCGTTAGCCGGGTTCATTGTCCGGCGCATTTCACAGCACGTTAGCGAACAGCGCGATGGGACAATGACAGCAGCATGTCAAAACAGAGCCACTAGGAAAGCTTATTTGAAGAGGCTCCAATTATCCACATAGACTCCCATACACAGCCCCCCACAAGGACACTAGAGGAGTGACAGGACCAGTGGCTTGTGAGATGTGCTGGAGTCCTCCCACTCACATAATTGTCTCACAGAACAAATCCTTCACGCTACGATGCAGCCGGGAGACATTCAAAGAGCACTCGTAACTAATGTTTTACTGCGCTGTGTGTATTATTGAAGAAAAAACTGTAAAAACATCCCAATCCCAACAGTGTTTAGTCTGCACATTTTATTTTATTGATCGTGGAGCTGGTGGTACATTTCAAAAACGATACAATTGGTTCATAAAAATATAAAAAAGCAAATCTCGTGTTTAAAAATTCATGTCGCATTTCGGTGTCTTCACATTTGAATACAACAAAGACGCCAGTGTTCAAATTAAAACCAATTAATATTTCATCACAAGAGATTTAACCGCCGTGATTACTGAGGTTACACGTTAAAGGTGCACTATGGAACTTTTCAGGTGTAAGGTCTGCCACCTGCTTGTCTCCATGGAGATGTTACAGCTGTACTTAAAATGTCATTATACTTATCCAGATATAGATAATAATAATAAGGTCACGTCTCTAGACCAAGTCACAGGTCAGATCTGTGGAGAGGCGACCAAGTTCACAGTGAGAACGCGTGTTTTTTAATGTATTTATTTAGTGATTACATAACAAGCAGTTGGCAGACGAGTAAAATAATGCACATTTATGTTACAACTAGACAATTACAGCATCGTTTACAGAAAATTCAATGATTTTTACAAAACGTACAAATGGTAATACAAAAGAACAAAGATGCAAAAAATACATGTATCTCAAAATATCAAACTCAATCACAAAAAAGTTGTGAAATCAAATACAAAAGAAGGTAGAAGAAATAACTTGACAATGTAACGGACAAATAAAATGATAGATATTAACCCTTCCAGACCTAAAGGCAGTTTTAGTCCATTTTTCCTCTCCTGGCAGAGAGCCACATCACGTCCATGAATTTCCACGGTGTTTATTACATTTGTGTTTGTACATTCTGCACTATTACGCTAGCCAGTCTGGTGCGACCTAGTGCCTCCGCTCAATTTCATTTCTCTCCAGCGACTAGGTCAGGGATCAAAATACACGAGAAGGTTCGCAAAAACCCTGGAAGTGCAAGTTCGGACATCAGCCAATCATCGAAGAGCCATATATTCAGTGTTGTCAACGATTCCCGAGATCGAGGATTTAAAGCCGGAACAAAGAGAATGTTTGGTGAATTTTATCAAGGGGAAAGACGTTATTGCCCTTCTTCCTGTGGGATTTGGGAAAAGCTTAATACACCAGTTAGCCCTGTTAGTTTCGCATTACATACGTCACGACCAAATAGCAGCGATTGGTTAAATGATAAAAAGTACCCGCCTACCATCGAGCGAACAAATTCTAACGCTGCGAGGTCAGACGGTTTGTATGAAGTGAAACGAAGTAAAACCGGCTGATGAGTCAAGCTACTATTACGCAGACCAAGGTAAGTAATTTAACACTTTCTTGAGAAATAACTGAACTTAGAGCGGCTTTTTCAATTGTTACGAACACAGACGCTCAGAGCAGTCGATCATCTTGACTCACTACACTCTTTGGCAAAGTTTGGGCCAATCATAATGGATGGAGCGCATACGTTTGGCGGAAAACAGCGTTCCTATTGGACACTTGTTTCTCCGTACAGGTCTGACGTAAGATAATGATGGAAAGCTGCAAGTCTCAGCTTTTCAAGGGGAAAATAAGTAAGTTTCTATCTTTTATGGTTGGAAATTTATACAGAGTTAAAAAGTATAAAACATATTCCCAAGTATCATGTACGATATAGTTGGTCTGGAAGGGTTAAAAAACAATTATACTAAATATACAGGCAAATATGATCAAACTAAATACCAAAGAGAAAGCAGATTTCAATTTATGTTCTCCAAGTCTCCTGGTTTGTCTATTACACCGTACTATAAACACTGTATATGACACCATAGACTGTATTAAAAACCAATAGTCCTGAGGGTTGAGTATCAAGTATTTTCCAGTGTGGGGGCCGCTCTGAGGTCATATATTGTGGGTAAAAACACGGCTCCCCAGAAGGTATTTCCAGTCTAAACGAAGAACCAGCTCTTTCCCTCAGACTAAACACACATGGAGCTCTGCCTTCACGTCACCCACGGTCACCCACGGAGGTCTGAGCACTTCTGCGCTCCACTTAAACAGGTGAAAGGGGACGCGCTGTTTCTCTGGGTTATTGATACTTTGCAGCTGATGTCGCGAACTCTCCCCGGGGCTGTGACGCTAACTGAAAGCACTACTCTGTTAGAAGCTCTCGTACTCAAGTTAGACTTTAATCTGAACTTTATTTTGACACAATCTGACCAGAAAGAACTGATTTAAAAGGTGAGATTGGTCAGGGTTCCCACTCTTTTTCACTGACAAAATTTCAAAACTTTTTCATGACCTAAAGTAAATTTTCTATGAGTTTATGGCACCTACATGTGTAGAACTGATCATACTTTCAGAGCTAAATATGAAATGTTAACCCTTTCTACTCAACTTATGGTTTGGTATTAAACTTTTTTTTACATTAAAAATACTGTCAGTGCATTTATTGTCGTTTCTTTTAAACAAAAGGCGTATACGTTCAGAAATAATCATAATAGCCTAATGATAACTTAACAGAACGCTGTAGTTGCATGAAAGAGATGCTAAAATTCCATGACTTTTCCAGGATTTCCATGACCGTGGGAACCCTGTACAGTTTTTCAATTTGTCCCTGTGCTTGACTTAATCAGAGAATCCTGAAAATATCTATCTTAAACCCATTTTGTATTTTTTCTTGACTCTTCAGACAATCTTAAAACTTTTTATGTCTGCGTTTGCCGATGTGTGCGTCGTGTCACCATGGTAACCGCTGAAAATTCCATCGATAGCAATGCATTATAGAACACCCCCAGCGTGATGTCGCTGCAAAGTATAAATAGTACGAGCAGCTCTTAGATGATTCTAGGCCTGTCACAATAAACACTACATCGACTTGGAGAGCAAAGGAGCTCAACAGAACGTCCGCCCTGGTTCCAGAAGTAAAGTTTGCATAATTTTTTTTTCCTCGTAGACTTTAAAAATCATCATAAAAAAACATTTCACGGGATTTTCTGATCTGTTATAATGTTGTTTCCTCATACAGAACATACCTGGAGTTGTGTTTTGTTTCATTCACACATGTTTAATACAAAAACCCTACGTATTTAGGCTGACAACTTCTCTCGAACCCTCTGCTCCACCATGTTTTTAAACTCCATACACCTTCACCTGAATCATTTAGATGATTTCAGGGCTGTAATTGCCAATTTCTACTGAGCAAATGGTAAAAGGTTGCTGGTAACTTGAAAACTACCAATACATGAAATCGAAAAGATGGAACGGAGCATTTTGAGTTTTGGAGATGTAGACAGACTAATAATAAACAACAGCACAAGTCCTGGTATGTTTTTGATGAAGGAACAGCATTATAACATGGCTTAAAGAAAAGAAAGAGTCCATTTTTGTGTTTAAAAGTTCAAAGACATCGCAAAGGCTAACCAACAATGTCATAACTAATATTCAAAATGCAAAAGTCTAAAGTCCAAAAACATTTAAACTCAAGGTTCGGCGAAATGTTTTCACTACTTCACGGTTTACAAAGTTACAGAAACAGACTTCAAATAGAATTCTTGATTTTCTTCAGCAATATATCATACTTTACAATGTGTTATGGTGACAGGCCGAGCTGGTTGCGGTGCTGTGTGTGCAGAACAGTTGGCAGAGGTTGGCAGAGGCGGGCGAGCGTGGGCGTACACACATTGTGGCGTTCCCCTCTTCTTCTACTGAGCAAAAGGAGGTGAGCGCCCGGGCCAAGTGTCTGTCGTCGCCATCTGGAGTTAGCAACCTGGAACACACATTCACGCAGATTATACTCTGATGTACAGTCGATGAGGGTTAAAATCGTTTTTCATTTTCATCCAGCGGAGAAAAAAAACTAAAAAGACGACAATGTGAAATTCTTGAAAATGTTTGCTTTTGAAAATGTGATAATTACATGTGGTGGCGTCTAATAAATAACACAACACCACAACAGAACTATTGTGGGAAAATCCTATAACTCATAATCCAAAATTATTTCTTTCTCAGTAAATTTGATCTACGACTTTCCGAGGAGCCAGCACTGGAACAGCTGGAAAAAAAGGGAATTCATGAACAAGTCGTCACTTTGATGATGATTCCTTTTATTTGGAGCAATTTTTACACACATTTCCTTTCAACAAACATACAAAACAAGATATAAAGCTGCTTGAAAGTGTCTTTGTTTCTGTCTTGGTGGCCTCCTCGTCGTCGTGTTGTCTTCGTGCTGTGGCCTACACTCCTGTTCCTGCTGAACTGAGCCAGTGTTAGATATGACTGATTATCAGCTCAGTAGGCACAGGAGGCCAGGCCCGCTCCAGCTTCTCCCACAACACTCGGCTCCCATCAAACCAAATCTGTGTGTTAAAGACAGACATCCTCCTCCAAAGTGCAGCTCCTCTGGGCTTATTCCACCTCATTAGAACAAAGTAGCTGCTGAAAGGCGACCATGACAAATGGAAGCCACAGTGTTAGTCAGACCTGTGCAGAGAAACACAACTACACTCAAACATCAGTACAGCGTCTCACCAAGATCAGCAGTGGGGGAAGAAGTACTCAACTAAAAGTACTGCATGAAAAAATCTACTCAAGTAAATTAAAGTACCTGTTAAAAAATGTACTTAAAGAGTAAAAAGTAAGTAAGTATTTTGCTGAGATTTTGAGGTCTAATGTACTGATTTTTGATAAACTATATGTGCTGAATGTTGTTCAACAAAAACGATTAAATTAAATGATTAAATTATTTTTTGCATTTGTATATTTTTGTTTGCCCAGACTATGAACATGTTAAAAATAAACCCTTAGCTTTTTCTGCACGTCTCAACCAATAATAAAAAAAATACAAACTTTTACTTTTCAGTCCAGTTAAAAAATGTAGTTAAGTAGAGAGTACAGATACCTGTTTTCAAATGTAGAAAAGTAAAGTAAAAAGTATTCAATTTAAAATTTTGTCAAGTAAGATACAGATAAGTAAAATGTATATTTAAGTCATGGATCTATAATAAGAAATGGATAAGACGAGATTCGACTAGTGGCCGCTCCAGGTACTGCAGCTCCCCTCAGCTCCAGCCCAGAAAGAATTCTCCCACAGACTGCATAATGCATTTTTGTGAAATCAAACAAATGTCATACAAACTTTTTCAAACTGTCAAAGCTCCTAAAAGTTATCTTTGTAACATTTAGTCCAGCCCTGCTCTGAGCTTGAGCTAATTCTGCTCTAACAGCAGACGCTCGGACCGGACAGAAGTGCGAGTTTCTGCGGCGCCAGGCCAGTGTTCAGGAAGTAATAATAAGAAAAACTTCTTGGCTCTTCACACCAATGAGTAGAGGCCGTTGGAAACAACACACACATCTTGGGTTCATCTTCCAGATGTTATACTTCCATGATTTCAGTACGGTACACAGCAAAAAGTGGAGTGTTAAACTCGACTCTTGCAGAATCAACTTTAACATTTTCTCAGAGTTTATACGAGTCAAATCTGTTCTAGAGTTAATTTAACATTTTTGGACATGTTAATTAAGTAACACTGGACCAAAGTTTCTGTTTAACCCCAAAATCCAGAGTTATATTAACGTTTTGAGAGTAAACAGATACACTTTGTAGAGTTATCCTGATTTAGCTAAACAACACACAGAGGTGTTTTATTTTATTTTTACTTTATTTTAGTTAATTTAAGAAGAAATTATGTACAAAACTGGTTCAAACTGGTCTTCTCTCACAAGAGTTTGAAGTGGTGAATGGGAGGAGCCAAATTAACACTAAGAGAAGTTGAATTAATCTCAACCACATCAACTCTGACAAATAACCCCAACTCAAACCCCCATTTAACTTTCAAATAGTTAAAATAAAACTTTTGGTGTTAAAAACAACTGAAATATTTTACCCTAAAATTTTAACCCTCCAGTTTTTGCTGTGTAGAGCTTTTGGAACTCAGTGCTACTTCCTGTGTTTTTGTACTTTTCTTTTCAACTTTTTCTTCCCCACAAACTGCCACTTAACTGATGTAAAACTATGATAAATAATAATTACCACAGATCCTTAGCCACCAAACAAAGTCATAGAAAAACATGAAAACCTGTCCTTGGCTGCGCACTTTAAATAGGAGCAATCACACAAGTTCCTGCAGGGCACGGCCAGTTTATTTTCAGTGTCTTTAGTCGACTCTGGCTTGTTCCTTTGATGTGCGGGGCTCCATTTCCCTCCCATTAGCGCGCAATAAATCACCTCTGGATCCAGCCTCTGATGGCAATTCCTCTTTTACAGGCCTTTGATAGTCATTACTCTTTTAACAGGCCCTAAATATAGGCCCAAAATGGCAGACTCCACATGGCCCTCATTTCTAATTCACACATCTGTCGTCGGTTAGGCGCCATTTTGTCGTCTAGAATATATATAGTCTGATAATACCTCCTCATTGTGATGGGCCAGAAAGGGATGGGGGTTTAAAATACCTCTCCAGAGCACCTGTCACTGTTATGATTAGACAGATATGGACCTGAGCTGCACACTCGCTCTACAATTAACAAGCAGGAGAGTGGACTCGGAAATATCTGTGGAATCTACTGACATCCACTCTTCTGGAAACGTCTGGAATTATACGTTTTTTTCTCTTTAAAGCTCCTATATTACGCAAACTTGGCTCTTGTGAGTGTTAAGCCATGTTGGAATTTTGTTTGAGTTGTGTTTTTTTTTTGAGTAATCTTTTATTATTAGTCTGACTACATCTCCAAAGCTCAAAATGCTCTGTTCCACCTCGTGATGTCATGAAGTAGTAGTTTTGAAGTTACAGCTACTTTTTACCTTTTACTGAGAAGAGATGGGCAATCCCAGGGCTGATTCTAGTGAAGGTGTACGGAGTTTTAAAACACAGTGGAGCACTTCCTGTATTATTCCTGTATTGTTTTCTGTTTGAGCAGTGGTGTAGTAGGGATTTTTTAAGTGGGAGTATGCGATTTATGACGGCATCGATGTGATAACCCCCCCCCAAACAAACATAAAGGTCATATTTGATGTTTTTTTTTTTTTTTTTAACCTAAAATGATGCGGAATTATATTATTGACATTAATGCCATTCATAATCACCTACAAAACATAAATCATAGGCTACAACACATAAACCAGGACTAAACCAGGACTAAACCAGGTCTAAACTAGGACTAATCTTGGACTTGAGAGCGAGAGAGAAAACCCAAAGACCATGGAGCAGGGTGTCCGCAAAGTGCGATTGGGTGACGGCTGCGTTTAGCCTGGTGGGGCGCAGAGCTCTGGGCCGGTCTACGCGGACGCACCTCCTGGTCCATCTCCACAGTCAATTCTGGTTTAGTTCTAGTTTAGTCCTGGATTAGACCTGGTACGGTCTTGGTTCAGTCGTGGTTCAGTCGTGGTTCAGTCCTGGTTCAGTCCTGGTTTAGTCCTGGTTTAGTCCTGGTTTAGTCCTGGTACAGTCTTGGTTTAGTCCTGGTTCAGTCCTGGTACAGTCCTGGTTTAGACCTGGTTTAGTCCTGGTACAGTCTTGGTTTAGTCCTGGTTCAGTCCTGGTACAGTCTTGGTTCAGTCCTGGTTCAGTCCAGTTGGTTCAGTCCTTGGTTCAGTCGTGGTTCAGTCCTGGTTCAGACCTGGTTTAGTCCTGGTTTAGTCCTGGTACAGTCTTGGTTCAGTTCAGTCCTGGTTCAGTCGTGGTTCAGTCTTGGTTCAGTCCTGGTTTCGTCCTGGTCCCTTCATGTCTCAGGTCACTATAGGACAGTACTGCAGATACCATGACGATAGCTCTGGTTTGACATTTAAGTTGTAGCTATTTTATATTTGTTATTTTTTTATATCTCATGTCGGGAGAAGTGGGTGGACGGCGTACCCCTGTGTACCACGCCCACTACACCCCTGTGTTTGAGTGAAGAACACAGCCTAAAAATGCAGGGTTTGTGTATTAAACATGTGCGAATGAAACAAAACACAACTCCAGGTCTGTTTGTGACGAGGAAACATCATTATAACTTCGATCAGAAAGTAGCGTAATATTGGCCCTTTAACCTGGTGGAAAGTGCAGATGGGATTAAACATGTGTTCTCAAAAAATAAGTGGAAAGAAGGAAGATAAATATAGACAGATAGAGGGATGGAGAGGGACAGACGTCATACTGTGGAACATTCTAAGCAGAGTAACATCGTCGCATCCCTTCCACTAGAAAAGTTACGTAATGGACCTTGCTAAAATTTCCTTCACTGCAGTAAATTCTAACAGATTTTGTTCTCATTTTACCAGCCGGGGTTGATCAAAAAGCCACTAAACAGAAATTAAAGTTCTGTAACGATTCATAATTTACTCAAAACAGATTCATCTTTGTCAAGGAGTTAAAAATCGTTCGCTTAGATCAGACCTCGGCATTGTACAGCTCCTGGTTGACTCTGACTTCCCCTTTTAAGCTCATGTGGAATTACAAAACAAATATATTTTATCACTTTACCTCATGCATGGACTAAATCTGCATTGCTTTTATTTTAGAGTTTCTTTTTAAATGATATTTTTGGTAAGGCAACCTCATTTTTTCATTGTTTAGTCATTACATAAACTCTTACCAGTCTGACCAGCACATCAAAACAATACGATTTACTGCTTTTTATAAAGAAATACAATTAATATTTTGCAGAATTGAGTTAAGCATTTTGTCCCGGCTGTCCACAATATTTTCAGTTTCTCACGTGACCCCATGGAAAAAAAATAATTGCCCACCCCCAGGCTTAGATAGACGTCTTTAATATATCTATTCAATC